ATAAAGAATGAAATCATAAATCAGTTGCGTAATTATTTATTTATTTATTTTTTTATTTATGATCTAAATGAACGCGAAAAACTTTCTGCAAATTATCTCGAGTCGAGTTCATGTCGTTCATTTATTGTCTCAGTGATAACGACTCCAATTTCTCACTGCTTATTGTGTTTACGTAACTTTGCAGTTCTCATGTAAATTTGACTTGTGAAAGTTCACGTGAAAAATATGAAAAAGTAAAACGTTTATAAACAAATATAAAATTGAGTAGTGAAGTAGTTCAGTGATGATGGGAAACAGTTTTCACACGTGATTTACCCATTTTTTGTAATCTGTTATTATCAAGCTTTCAAAATCAACACAGAACAACTATCTAACCAGCCACGTTAAAGCTTATTCAATCAAGCTAATTGAGTATGAAATCCTGCGTGACTTAATGCCATTTATAACATAAGATCGGCAAACATTTATTCAGTTAATGTTCGACCGTAAAGTTTAAATTGTGGTTCGTGGTGAATTGCACATATTTGCTTCCTGTTAATTAAGTAAATGTGAATGATACGAAAGCATGTAAATATATTGATTGCGATGTCAAATATCATAAAAGATTTTGTTAACAAATTATCTATGAGATTTCTAATTTTATTTCCAAATTGTCACGCTTTAAAGCATCATCGATTGAAAGTTCAACGAACTAAGAACACACATTTTTATTTCTCAACGTTCTCTATTAAAATCAATATATGTATGTAAGCAGTATTTAAAGCAATCTTGATGATCCAAAAATGTCAATCGATACTTTTCAATTAAATTCACGATCGAATAGCATCATTCCAAATCGATTTCGATTGGTTTCCATTATAAATTTCTCTCCACTCTAGCTCATGCTGAATCAATTATAAAGTCACAACAACACACAAACTCAGAATTTTCTCTCGATTTTAAGTGTGGCGTTTGATTTTATGTTTTTCTTGCGACATTCACCTTGAAGTTTATTCCAAAAAATTATAATTCCATGAGATGAAGTTCTCTTTATCAATGCCTAATAACGAACACTTCACTAAATACTTGGTAATAAATTTATGTTTTGAATTGTTGTTATCCAATATAAACCGCAACACACATCAGCATTGAATAATAAGCGATGCTAACGACCGAGTGATTCATCAAAGACTGAATAAAACGAATGAGAAAATTGAGAAGAAGAAAAAACCAGCAAGCAATGCGATGTTGCCAGCTTTGATTTTGTTGCATATGTCGATAACATTTGCTGATCAAAGACTTTACATTTATGTCCAACAGCATAGAAAGAAGAGAAAAGTCTATTCAAGTTTTAAAGTTTTCATTTCCTTCTAATTCTTTTATAGAAGTTTCTACACTTGAACGACTTCCAATGATCGCTCCAAAAAAAGAGAAAAATCTTTAAGGTTCTCGGCTATTTAAATTAATAACAGAATAAATAATGAAACGTTCTAGCTCGATTCAGCGGGATAAAAAATTTATGAACATTAATTTTTATTACTTAACGGTATCATCGAAGTATGTCTAATGCGTATTCCAATTAGTGTGCGTTTGAGATGATGCAGAAATAAAAGATTTGAGTTACTCCAAATTGCAACTTACAGGTGCATGTTCTTCATGATTAAAAACATGAATAAGAATTGGAACAAATTTAACGAACCATTTCGATAGCAAAAGAAAGAAACAAACTCTCATTGAGCGTTAGTTAATCTTCTGTATCATAATCATAATCATTATGTTTACCTTTCCATCACTCACTTTATGACTTTTTTGATGCTTCATATAAAAATGAAAGTCTTGAAATTTTCCTTCTCTCTTCATGCTGTTAACCCACATTTGAAATTATTTTGCTTACTTATGTGTTGGCAGAGTTCTTCTTCGTTTCTTAAATAAAAATCGAAATCACAATAAAAAAGTTCAAGTGAAAAAATACATAAAGTGATTAAATTAACTGCGCAAAATTGATCAGACTCGGTATGCAAGAATTTGTATTGAATTTATTTTATTCAACAAATGTTTTCATAAAAATATATTTTAAGTATTTTTTCAGGAAGCTAATACAAGTTAATGTTGTGACATGTGATGGTTTAACTGTAATTGTCTGCCATTTCCTGAATACTTAACATATTCGGTTGCCTTTGTGTCAGCGTAAAACTAAATTCCATACATCCATCTCTTTAAACTTAACAAAACAAAAAATATCCAAATTAGATATTCTCTACTTACATTAGCAAATATTAATTATAGAGTTGAACACGCAAATAAAAAAAATAAAACTCGGAGAAATTAAGTTGTAAAGCGTTTTTTATTTAATTGACCAAGAAGAAACCCCCGACATTGAGTAAAAAACAAAAAGCGAAAGTTTAAAAAATTTAAAGCCAATTTCATTCTTTATTTCCATCTCAATGAATCTGACCAGATTGGAATAAATGCTGAAAATATGTACGTCTTGTAGACACAATGGTTTTCAAAAATTCCTCAGACTTCATTCCAAAGAACAATGGAATTGAAAGCAAGCATCAGCGATGGTGCAAATGCGATCATAAATTTCTTTTCTTATGCTTCTCTCTATGCATTGTTGGATTCGGCAGAAAAAGTGAAATTTCTTCTCGTTCTGAATGCTGTAACATGACATTTAAATTACTGGGCTGGGTTCGAGATTGAAAAGATGCTTCGAAGTTGTAAATCATAAGCTTTCAGTTTTCAACTTAGTCTGATTTTTAAAGTTTCATTTGTCATGCTTTTTGTCGACATCATTGGCGGCTTACATGAAATTTCAGTTTATCGATTGTTCTCAACAAAGTTTTGATTTAAAACTTCCAAAGAGAATTTTACTTCATTTTGAAAAGTTTTTAATGTTAATGGAGATTTTTAAATATCTTCAAAATGTAGTAAAACCTCCAAACAAAACAAAATCTCATTAAAACATCAAGTCATGATCAGAAACCTCTTGTGTAACATTCACCAATATCTATGTAAAGTAAAACGAGATTAATTACATTTTTAAAGCTTCTGTCATGACGATAATAAGTGAGAGTTGTAATAACCATCAACACTTTCAAGGCTTTTTGTAGGATGATGAATTGATTGACTTCATTAAGTAATTTGAATAATTTTTTTCTCTCTTACATCATAATTTCTTAAGCCATGCTAATCTAAATGACTTTTAACCCTCTTACTCTGTCAAAATGATGTTCCGTAAAAGTTTAGCTTTGTCACATATGCATACATCACCATAAATTAATAAAAAAAAATCTTCTCATCATGATTTGAAGCTTTAAACATTCATAAACAGGATTGAAAAGTGTTGTTAAAAGTAAGTGAAATCGAACATCAAATGATTTATGTTGACTTGAAGACAAAAATCAAACAGGCGTTTCATTTTAATTTAATATCTTCTTAGCTTTAATATATTAACAATCAACATTGAAAGTATCAGTTATTTATGCTGAACATCTTGAAAATAAAAGTTAACTCTTTTTGGTGAAAGTTTAAAGGTGTTTCCGTCGCGTTGGTGGTTTACCTTGTGATTACTTGTAACCACTTACATATTGCACAATAATTCAATCATTTGAACAGAGCTTTCCATGATAAGTCGAAGCTATTATCAGATCTCATATGTTTTACACTTTGACGTTCATATTTGGACACAAAACAAGACTCAACAATATGAGTGATAAGCATCGTTCATGATTAATGGATTATTACATGAGATCAAAATCAAGCGTCGTTAACATTATACAAATGGATCTTTTAAGATCTTTTGGATCGTAAATTACGTAAATGATCACATACTTTTCCTTCTCTCTTGCTTCAAGCGATGTTTGTGAATAGTTTTTTAATGGAAATGAAGAAAGAAAGAAGGCAGTGACTCGACTTTGACAAATTTCTCTCCAATGAATTGTTTGCAAACAGCGGGCGAATTTGGAAAACTAACTGCTCAATTGTGTTAAGATTTGTATGCAAAATTTAACATCTTAGGTGTCGTTCCATGTCACTGAACAACTCAAATGCTATTTTTGGGATCACAAGTGAAAGTTTGTCCAAATTTCTGTTATTTTTTCTTTTTCTTCTTCTGTCATTATTATGAAATATTTACATCGAAACAAGCATTCATTTAAATCGTCACACATCTGCGAATGAAATCGATTTCGTTAGCAATGTGTTAATAAAATATTTTACAATCTGAAATTTTGAGAAAATATTTGGATATACATAATAGGCTTGAGAGTGCTCTTGAAATGCAAAGCATCATTATCATTAGAAAGGTCATCATTGAACTCACAAGATCTGGTCAAGAGTCTCAAGTTTCTAGTTTTGTCAACAATATCAATGACTGAAGCTAAGAGAGGGTTAAGTAGCATTTCACATGAAACCTAACATCACTCGAGGTTCTTTCCATTAGTTCTCGTCCATTTCAAACAGTTTCTAATGCAACAAACTGTTGCAGAAAACAAGTCAAGCATAAACGCAGAAACTATACAATTTCATGCACAATCAAACGGACTTGAAAGCCACAAAGTAGAAGCATGATAAGTATGATTAATCACAGAGGTTTCAATTGCTTACCGACGTGATGAACGATTTTGCAAACCGCACTTTATTTATTTCAACCTGTTTAAATGCTTCTTCAATTGGGCGTGATTAACTTGACGGTCAAGTTAGGTGTATGAGCTTCAAAGTGTTTTCAAAGTTTATTTTGTTGACTTAAACCTTTCATTTGTGAAGACAGCTATCAGCGACAGTTTAATCTCCAAGTCATTGTTTTATATCTTGTTTTATGGTGTTTATGTCCAAGTTTTTTTTAACATCGTAACATGGACGTGAATGCAAGTGATTCAAGTTCATGTTCCAAATATAAATTTCTGGTTACTCAAAATTTCATTGCCATCAATTTTTGACTTTTATATTCTGACGCATCACAACAAGGTTTATTGAGTCATTGCAATAAATTTTGAATGTTTTACTTTTTCAAGTGAACTTTCACCAGTCAAATTTACATGAGAACTCCAAAGTTACGTAAACACAATAAGCAGTGAGAAATTGGAGTCGTTATCACTGAGACAACAAATGAACGACATGAACTCGACTCGAGATAATTTGCAGAAAGTTTTTTCGCGTTCATTCAGATCATAAATAAATAAATAATTACGCAACTGATTTATGATTTCATTCTTAATGATTTCTGCATAAAAGTTTTTATTTTCTTCCTTTCATTTCTTTTATTTTTATTTATGAAATTGGCTGTCGAGTGTCGAACGATTTTAGATTGTAAACTTCCATGACTCTCGCTGGTCTCACGACTGCTTGCTTACATGTCATAAGTGAACAAGAAATCAGTGAGAATGTTTCCTGTTTCCGTGAATTAATTGAGTCATCTTCATATCGAATATCTCAATGGTGCCACTTAAATATCATCAGCAGCAATGACATTTCGACAGCAACTGAATGGTGGAGCTGTGCAGTCTACTAATTGACAATAAATGAATTTGTTGCGACTCGTTGAGTTCATGCGCGTTCTGCTTGCATAATCAGACTGCATCGAGTGAGATCCATAATTGGCTTCCAAGTGATCCGATCGCGATTAGCGATTTCATTTACATTTTATGTCAATCGATTCCATTTTCATGTTCAGCTACTCGACAAATTGTTTAATTAACTTGCTAATGATTCGATGTAAAATGATTTAAATCGTGATTTTGAACGAAACAAAGAAAGAAATTGAAGTCAATGAATTTAAATTGTCAAAGATATGCAGTTCAATTCTCAATTCAGCTGCTACAACTTCATCAATTCAAATTCCGGATTTTCTTTTATCTATTTTCGGAGAAATTTCTCTCTTTGTGACTCAGAATCTTCCTGCATTGATATTGGATTCTTGTCTAGACATGCACAAAGGTTCGCACAAAGCGTGATTCATTTTCTTCTGATTGTTGTTGTGATGGAAAACTTGATGGAAAATCGAAGTTTGTAGTGACGAAAATTTCCTCATTTTACTCTTCCACAAGTCTAGTTGAATAACAAAACTGCGTCTGTTCATGAACTTCATCACTTTGAAGTGCAACAGAAATTTCCAAATGTCAAACTCATGATTGGTTGCATCATCGCTTCATAAATGATTCGCGGGGGTGATTAATTCTCAAACTAACGATACAACAACATAAAAGCGCTGACAAGTTCTGACTTGATGGATTTTAATTAATTTATTGATCACTAAAACTTCAGAACTGATGTGAACTGAATAAAGCAAAATATCAACGAAAATCTTTTCTTTTCTTCTCATTTTTGGGTCAAACGCATGAATGAAAAAATTATGAGCAAATGAGCGATTCTTGCGCAATTCGAAATCGAAGATTTTTCGTCATGTCGTAAACTTTATGCATCAAACATTGAAATGAAATAGTAGCGAACATTTTCCGATTACACCACGCAATGTTCTCGCCATTTGATGTCTTGAAAAGCAATGAAAATGAGTGAAAATTTATCATCTCGGCTTTTCCTTTCTTCGCACACGCATGCAACTATTCATTGGAGATTTGGGTCAGTTTATGAAACTAAAATCGGTCATAAAACTCTTTCATGTAATTAAAAACTTCTTAAAGCGATCGCGATTGTTTGTGCGCTTCTTTAATGACCCAAAAAACGAAAAACAATTGCGAAAGAAACTGCACAGTGTAATAAGTCGTTCATCAACTTCCTTTAAAGCCTCAAACGTTCACTTGTGACATAATTTAATTACGGGTTCTAGTAGAGTGTTCTACTTAGACCCACAGTTGGCTGACACATTTAAGAACTGGAAGAAGAATCGAAGAAAGTTCTCAAACAAGAACATTCAAAGTAACACAAGTAGCAACTTTTAGTCGTTTCCATATTTTCATTGCATAAGAAAGTGTTGTCAGTAATATTTGAATTATATTTTTCATCCGCCAACTTTCCATTTGTAATTTGTCTTTCATGATTATTAACTTTGATTAGAGTGCAAAATTTCTTTCACAAATGTTTTAATATTAACAACATCAACTTTTCGATTGGTCGTTCGTTGCACTTCATATGTCTGTAAACTGCAGCATTGAATAATAAATAAAAATATCAACAAAGACCATTCGCGTTCAATCGAAGCAATACAAAGGCAAAACTCGCATGCAACTTCCTATATCATAGAACCTATATCATTAATTGAAGGCTACATATGACTTGCACTAAAATATCTTTCGCTTTTATTGCAATTCTTCTGCCCTTTCCATCTCTTCATTGAACATGAAATCACTTACTTACATACTTGAATCAACGCAAAGGATTCTTAAAAGTCATTAGTGATTTATTTTTCAATGAAAGAAGTCATGAAGAGAAAAAAATGCATTAAATTATCATTTAATTATTTTTCTTTAATAGTTTTCTGATGAATTCTCATGGCAAGAAATTCTCTTTCTAAGCTTGATTGGAAACAGACGAGATTTCAAGGATTTCAGTCATCCATTTCCAAATTCCCGACATTCATTCTTATTTATTGCACGATAATTTATCAAGCAGTTTCCGATAAATAGTTAACAATCATGCTATTAAATCATAGCGTAGTTGAAAACTGATGGAAGATCGATTCAATCATAGAAGTTAACAGGCAACAGAAGGTTCCGATCTTCATTCTCTTAAGTTAATGACCATGAGAATTGCAAGCGATTAAAGCTTTTTTTTTTTTGAAATCATTAAACAGGTTGAAATAATTGAATTACGGTTTGCGAATTTGTTCATCACTGTAGTCAATCAGAGGTATCTGTAATTAATTTATATTATCTATCATGCTTCTACTTTGTGGCTTTCAAGTTCGTTCGATTGTGCATGAAATTGTATAATTTTTGCATTCACGGTTAATGTACTTTTTCTGCAATGCTTTGTTTCATTAAAAACTGGTTCAAATGGACGAGAACTAAAGGGAAACCTTGACTCAAGTTTAAGGCAATTCAAGTTCCATTTAAGTCTTTTCCATTTTACCATAGATAAGGAAAAAAACTCAAGAAAATGTCGGCGTGATCATGTCTTGCGAGACTTGAGATGACCCTTCTACTGATAGTTTCAACGTTTTGATGCATGCATGAGAATCGTTATTTCCATCGAGTAAAAAAAAAAGAGTTTTCGTCGAATCAACCAGCCTAAACTGACAATAGAGAAACAAAAATGTTTGATGTGGAATATATGTCACAGTTGTTATTCCGCTGTATATTGTAGCTGCTGCTTAATGATGTATTAAAATTAACTCAACAATTGACTAAGAACAAAAAATACACGTTTTTACTAAACACGAAAAGGAAAATTCTCATCATCCACCAGCACATAACGGTTAGAGACAAAAACAACAGAGAAGTGCACGAAAACAGAAAAAATAAGGAACGAAAAACAAGAGAGATTCAAAAATAAAATATTAAGGGCTCATCATTGTATCTTTAGAAATGTTTAATCTGAGCAATTTTAATTATTTGCTTAAAACTTTATAAAACATTAATAGGTAGTGAAGATTTAAAAATACTTTTTTGAATTTAAATGGATTAAATTTTCCAGTTAGTGATGAGCTTCCCCTTGCTCGGCCCATTCAAGAAACTCTTTCTCTTGTTTTTATTCTCATGAAAAGTAGGGGCAAGTTAAAAGTAATGGCAAGTAAATAAAATTAAACGTAAATGAAACTATCAGTGGTAGTGTCATCTTCTCAGCTTTTATTAGATATTAGAGAGTAGATAGTCACCGGAAATAGGTATGTCTCATGAAATGGAAACTTCATCATTTGAACTCACACAAAATCGAAATAATGCCGATGTTACATTATTTAGAGAGAAATTTTCGTTTGCTGGTTCGTTTTGTTCGCTCATTTTTTCTCCACGTTTCATACGTTGTCGATCAGTCTTGTTCAAGCTTTGGATTGTTAATGAAGCGTTTTTATCTAATTCTCGTGGAGAAATTAATTTTAAAATCAACATTTTCTGGATTATCATTGAAAATAAGTTTAAAATATTAGAGAAAAATATTAAAATTGTTATTTAAGTGACTTTAAAGACTGGATATTTATATGAAAACAAACGAAATTCTAGGAAATGAAAGTTTTGTTAGTTGCTAACACGAAAGAGTCATAAAAATTAAAAACCCAAGAAATAAGTACAGAAAACATGTTGAGTATGAATGATTACTCATCAAAGTGAGCAAACACAGAAGTTGATAATTTTAATGACAAATTCAACGACGAAGCTTCGTGAAAGTTAAAAAGGTGATAATTTGAGCATCGTCGCTCAACTGTGAATTTTAATCAATCTTTCATATTTCTTGAGAAAGAAAAAAATGTGAAATAAATGAGCTCCTTCAAAGCTATTAAATCGAAAGTTTATCAGCGAAAAAAAATAAAAAAGTTGTTTGAAAAGTGCAGAAAAAAAATGCTAAAAATCTGAAGGTTTCTTTCATGTTGCGATTCGAAAAGAAAGAGAAAGGCTTGTGAACAAGCGAACCTCTGATAAAAAAGAAGCTGACAGCATCCCATAAGCTTCTTGTTCGTATTAAATCTTCAAGTGCAGAAAAAAATCGAAATCGTTTTCACTAATTGACATTTTGAGTTCATCTATCCGCATATAAAATATAAAACAACATTAAATTTGATACAAATCCATCAGTCGCGGATGTCGAAGCAAACAAAATGATTTTAATGCAACAAATGTCGAAAAAAGTTTTCAACTTTTTAATGGATTTCCTGGCAGCGAATAATTTGTTTTTTAATCTGAAAGTTTGATTTGATTGCTTTAACGCTTTGAGCACAACCTTCAGATATTCTATGTAGATTGTTCGAAATTTGTCTGCTCCCTTCGTAAAGTTGTAAAGTTTTCCAGCAGATCAAGTGTGAGGTCATGGAACAAGAGAAACAAAAATTGTCTATTTTTTTAATAAATGGGCAAGCAAACAAAGAACCGCTTAAGTTAATGAAAAGAACAGGTTTTGGGCTTTGAAGCGTATGCGAATGAGGTGTAATGACTGCGAAAAAAAAAAAGAATTACGGGAAAGAGTCCCAAGCCATTACCTAGATTTATTTTATTATCAACTCACTGGACTGGTTGAAAGAAGTGTTAGAGTTAACAGGTTTCTAATCGTAGCAAATATTACAAGCTGCAAAGAAATTGTTTTTTATAAAAGCTCCATAAATGATTCAAATCAAATTAACTAGACAAAAGAAGAAAAAAAATTAATTTATGAAGATTAAGTGCTCACGCTTTGTGGTTAAGCATTGTTCAAATACAACACCCACACTAAGCTCTATGAATTTAAATTTATTTGAACACTTCTTAGAAGCCCTCACAGCGAATGTAATAAACTCAAAATCGTTTCAAGTTCTTATTTATTTAAGATGAAGTTTCAATTTGTTATCAGAAAAGATTTATTCTGTAAATCTTCTTTATTTTATTCTACTTTTACGTTGTTCTTCAGAGCTGGAATATCTTGTTGATTCAGTGAATCGACTTTATTTTAGTTGCGTTGTTTTTAAATGGGACGACAGTATTTTCAGTTGCTATTTGAACAGATATTATTATTCCAAGCAAGTTTTTCGATGTGGTTGATCTATTTTTAAGTGAATGTATAATTTTGAAATCTTAGTAACTCCTTTAAAACATTTGCTAGACTTATACTGATGGCATAATAAACAAAACTATTCTTTGAATAAAACCTGAAATTATGAGCTTATCGTATAGTTCATCGTTTAAGCTTATTAAGTGAAATGCAAGAACTTTAAACATTTCATATTAATATTCATTAAAAAACATATGATTACGGACTCAACAGACTAATTCCTTCCTGTTGAAGAAATTTGAGCCAAAAATTTCCATAAACATATATGAAGCTAGGCGTGAAGAAACTTGATTAAAGTATAAAGTTGAATATTTAGTATGAAGTGAGTGAAAAGAATGCTCGTAAAGCACTAAAGTACTTTTAATGAAGTGTGAAATTTCTCAATTAAGAAAATCAACAACGAACGAAAAGAGAAAAACGTGAATTAAGAAAAGATATATTCATGTTTTGTTCAAAATTCCGAAAAATAAATTTTAGACAACTTCCATAGAGAATAAATTTGCAAAAATTGAGAAAAGGAAACAAAATGAATTCAAATAATGGTAAAACCCAACCCGTTATGCTTCTCATGCAATATTTAATCAAGTCGCATGGAAGAAAGATTAGACAAAGTACTTTGTTAGATAAACATTCGCTCATCCATTAAGTTGAAAGAGCAGAAACGACATTTTTGAGGCGTGGGCAAAAAAACTTCTTTATTATGCAAAGAAAACAAAACGCGGAAAGTATGTTGTGGACATTTTGTTGATGTCATGAGCCCATATGTCACACGCTCTCTCTTTCTTGTCTTTCTCTTTTCATAAAAGTCACAAACATTTGTTTGTAGATATTTGAAATGAAAATCTTGACACGACACAACATTTATGACATTGAACTTTAGTTTTTGTTTGGCATTTTGTATTTGCTAGTAAAAATCTTTGTAATTGTAGCGAGGTTTGATGATTAATTTGCAATTCTTGCCTTACCTTTTCATTGCAGTTAACACCTATCTTAAGACTGATTTCTTGGCCTTCCCACGAAACGATTAGTTTTCATCGGAGTCTTCATCGACTAGTTGCCTTAACTCGATTTCATCCGTTTACGGTTCCAGCCTACAAAGCCGTCAAAATTCCGTCGATTATCAAAAATCCCGGCAGTAAAAAGATGGCCGGTACCGGAGATATCATGATTCAGCTTTTTTCTTGCTGCATGCAACAGCAGCCGAGCCCAACAAGAAGACGCCATCAACGTTTGAGAATCGATCGATCAATGATTGGCAATCCGACGAACTTCGTTCATACAGGTTTGACGATAAAAAATTGTTAATTATGTGTGTCAAGGTTTCATTTGAAACCAAATTAATAATTTCAGGCCACATTGGATCCAATGAAGCTGAATTGTCATCCCAACATTTGACAATCCTTCAAAGTCAAATGCAAAGTAAAGGCGGATATGAGATAAATTCATTGCGAATGCAGGTTTGTCATTTATATTTCATAGAAAAAAAACAATATTGTGACTTACTTTTGTTTATTTCTCTTCTATTTACAGCAAGCATGCTGATAAGCATCTCCAACATTTCAATAAATCTCAGCCAATTTACAGCGCATCGTATCGTAAAGCATTCTAGTGTTAAGTTAATTTAATGATTCACGATAACTTCTCAGTGTAAATATGAAACTTGATAAACATTAGAAGAACTTACAAGTTGACGCGAATCCGGTAGCTTCCACGTAATCATTAAAAATTTCTTGGATTTAATTTATTTTTAATAAGTTAAGATTATTTTCAATGATATTTTTAAATATTTTATGTACTTACTATCTGATCCACTCAACTTTATGATGATATTTCAGCCATTTTTTATGTAATCATCTTACTAAATTTAAAATTTTCTTGACATTAAAAAAATTTCTTGTGATTTTTTCTGATAACTTGTTTCAAGTATTTGATTTATAATTCAATTTATGTACATAGTTCCTTGGTTAGTCGCTGGAATAAGTTCACACAATAGATTTTAAACAATTTTNTTTTCCTAAATCGATGAATTTGACAAGACTTGAAGAAAGGATTAAGAGGAATTGTAGTTATGAGTAAGATTTAATTTAAAACTCAATCATAACAATTCCAAGGAAATTTATTGTTGATAATACAGTGAAACTTTGATAAACAGATATTTCAAGGGACACAAAAAATTATCTGTTAATCGAGGATATCTGCTTATCAAGGATTTGAGGGTGTTGAAGAAACATAAAAATATAATTTTAAGCCGACAATCCCCAATATTATATCATTTTACTATTATTTTAACTTATCTATTATAGTTTATTATACTATAATGCTAGTTAGAGGATGAATTAATAGTATTATAAAAATTCGCGCCATTCGAATTTTGAGCAACTGAGTAAATGAAGACCCCCGATTTTAAATTTTTCCGTTTATCAGCTTATTGAGGTCAGTTTTTCATACAAATTTCGTCACCGTTTATCAGGGCATCAGTTAATCGAGGATATCTGTTAATCGGGGCAATACTTCGAACAAATTCGAGTGTGTGCCAAAAAATATCAGCTTATCAAGGATATCTGATTATCGAAGTAGCAGCTTATCGAAGTTCCACTGTATTTGATTTATAATTCAATTTATGTACATAGTTCCTTGGTTAGTCGCTGGAATAAGTTCACACAATAGATTTTAAACAATTTTTCATTTATGTACCAGCATACACACGTAAGTCAATTTAAAAATATTGAAAAATGTTAGACAATTGGTGCCTAAAGAAGTGAACAATAAAAATTATTGATACTTAAAACGAAGTTCTTGGCGCTTCCTTAATTTTTTTTTCAGAACGCAACAATAAATAAAGATTCGTGAACTTCAGCTGAATATTGGTATTCCTTATATTCAACTTATCTTTGTTTGATTTAGTGCTTTGATTTGCACAAACAAATCTGACTCTAAAATCATTTTATAAGTTGTAACGGTTTTAATTTTTTCAAATCTTATTCACCTTTTCACCTCAAACTTCAGCACTTTAAGTGATCACATGATAGAAAATAGAGAAAAACAAATCTTGTGATTCTCTAAGAAAAGTTTTCTAAATTGTTCGAGTCGCTATTAGATTAACATCAAAATGTCAGGAAAAGACAGGATTCCAATCTTTCCTTCAAGAGGGTAAGAAAGAATTAAAATTTAAACTCTTATTGACAAAAGAAATTAATAATAATGCGAAAAATACAAAATAATCAATATTTTTATCTTTCCTTAAGAGCTCAAATGTTGATGAAGGCTCGTCTTGCTGGTGCACACAAAGGACATGGACTTCTTAAGAAAAAGGCTGATGCTTTGCAAATGCGATTCCGTATGATTTTAAGCAAAATCATTGAGGTAAGAAAATGACTCCTCGATGATCCCCACATCCAGTCATCATTGTCTTGTTTTTCAGACGAAAACATTGATGGGAGAAGTAATGAAGGAAGCTGCTTTTTCATTGGCTGAAGCGAAGTTTACAACAGGAGATTTCAATCAAGTTGTTCTCCAGAATGTCACCAAGGCTCAAATAAAGATTCGAACCAAGAAAGATAACGTTGCAGGTGTCACTCTTCCAGTATTTGAATCATATCAAGATGGATCAGATACTTATGAACTTGCTGGTTTGGCTCGTGGTGGACAACAGTTGCAAAAGTTAAAGAAGAACTATCAAAGTGCAGTGAAATTGCTCGTTGAGTTAGCTTCTCTTCAGACATCTTTCGTGACTCTTGACGAAGTCATCAAGGTTACAAATCGCAGAGTGAATGCTATTGAACACGGTGAGTTCATAAAGTGACATCACAAAGAAAATATATTTAAATTGCGATTTTTTTAAAGTCATTATCCCAAGAATTGATCGGACTTTGGCTTATATCATCTCAGAGCTTGACGAACTTGAACGTGAAGAATTCTATCGTTTGAAAAAGATTCAGGTCAGTGAAATTGTAATAATAAATAAAACATAAGTTAACATTTCTTTAATTTTAGGATAAAAAACGAATTGCCCGTAAAAAAGCAGAAGCTTTGAAAGAAGCTTTACTTGCACAAGGTATTGATACTCGTCAAGCTGTTAATAATATGCTTGATGAAGGAGATGAAGACATTCTATTCTAAAGCCACTAAACAAACATTCACTGTTAATATTTTTCCTCATAAAAATTCCACTTTGAATCGGTGATTCTATTCGTGAGCGAAATGTTGGTAAGATAATTCAAATCGATAATAACTATTTTTTATCACCAAGATTTTATCATATCTTGGTGACCTTTCTTATCGTTTTGAGTGTTGTTTGGCTTATATTTTATTTCATCATCTCCAACTATAAAGGAAAATGTTTTAAATGTCCAAAAAAAAATAGAAAAAGTAAATATGTTATGTATGGTAATTGATTCCAATAAATTAATGATTTAAACATCATCTAAATATATAAAAGATTTTTAATTATGCAAGGTCAAGAAGAATAACAATTTGTAAACATAAGATTATGTTGAAAAGTGCGAACATGTGGTGAAAAAGTTTTGTTTTGCAACACTCAAACTTCGACTAGCTGAACTCAACACAATTTTCACCTCAGTTCTTAACAAAAGATTCAAAGAGATCGCTGACGAATTAATATATTCCACTGTTCCAAATTCATAAATCAGTAAGGCAGCTAACAAAGAAACGTCTTGGAATATTTATGAAAAGAAAAGAATTAAAGAGCTAGGTAAAAATTCTTTGTGATAATTAAGAGTGAAACCTTGAAAATTTGAAAAATCTGGCGAGAAGCTTATAAACAAAAAAGAAAAAAGTTATTTATAAATAAATGGAACACTTCACAACTTAATTAGTACTCGAGTTGTAAAAAAATCAAAGGAAACTTAAGTAACATTGCATAATTATATTTTTCATGTTAATTTAATTATAATCTAAAGAGGGAAATCGAGAATATTTCCTTTGGTTATTGTTATTGTGCAACAGCAAATCATCATAACAACGCAAAAAAATTGAATTGTGTAATTAGTACCTCGATTAGTGCGAACTATATTTAAAAGTTTCTAAAAGTATCATAAATCACATAAAAGCGTTTATTTAGAGCGCGTTAGAATAAATGAAAACTTGATATGAACTTTAAACTTTTCGTTCCTGTTGTGAGAGAACAAAGAGTTAAAGCAGAAAAAGAAAAGTCGCTGCTGCTGACTCAAGGCCAATTTAGGAGTTATCTGATGTAATGAAAGTAATAAATAAACATTAATATTTTCTTGGCTGATTCTCAAACTCACATTAATCAGGCAACTCATTTTATTACTTCCAGTGATAGTCATAAATTATAATTTACTTTGTTTCTCATATTTACACACACGTTTCAGTGGTCGTTGCGTCGTAACAATGATACCTAATAATAATAAAAAAGAGCATCCAATCGAATCAGATTCATGATTTGCGGTGAACGAAAGTCTTTCAATTAGTATTTACTTTAAATAAGAAATACCTTGTGAAAACATCAAACATTATCGTAAATAATTTACAGCTGTTGACTAATGCGGAGTAAATGTTGATCAGCTGATCAAGTACTCTTTGGAAATGGAAACTTTTCATTTTCGTTTTGCGACTCAAAATTCTCCGTGTTTCTTTTTGTTTACATTGTTTTGATAATATTTCTTCGCTTTTTGTCTGGAGTGTTAAAATTCTTTGTGTTATGTTAGACAGAAAAAAGTAATATTTTAGTTACAAAGTGAAACAAAGCAATGAAAGTTTAGCAATAATTTTTTTTTCAACTAAATTGACGCAAAATTTTCTTCGATTTTCAATCATCGTGTGTGTCTTTCTTGTGGAGAATAATGAAAAAAGCAACAGACAGCAAAGTTACAAAATAAATAAGCAGCGCGATAATTTCGCATGAAGTGAAGCAAACGACCGAGAGAGAGAAAAAAAATACACGAAACAATTTTTTTCGGAGTGTCAAAGAAAAGTCAGACCAAAGTTAAAATCATTTTACATTCACAACACTTAAATCTTACTTGTGTGAATTTGTATATTTGAATATAGTAAATTAAACTTCTTGAATCATTTAAATTCTTATTAGGATTAACCGTATAAAAGCTCTTGAATATTTAAAGCTTTCAAGACTTAAATAATAATTTCGATATTTCGCTCGCTGTTTATTGAAGTTGAAATGAGTCATGTTTGTCATTGAATCATACCTAGGTAGTTACCAAATCCCTAATTATCAATTGCAGATCGAATACATAAAGCACCAAAAAAAGTGAATAAGACAAATTAACGTCAACAACGACCACAAATGTGATATTGAGATTGTGACATCGAATAGCTAGAGAAAGAAACAAAAGCGAATAGTAACTCTGACTTTACAACGCCATGCCTACATTATTGGAAGCGCTCGAAGAGAAGTATGGCTTTGCACAAACGAGCGACATCGAAGCTGAACCGGAGCTTCTGATGCTTCGATTACCAAAGCGAACTCCCCTTCAAAGGTGATTAATAATTAGTTTTATTTGTTCCTTATTGTTTATTTAATCGCCATAAGCCGACAATTTATGCTTTATCATTATTACGATTGAAGATGAATCACTTCCACACAAACTGTTGTTTATTGCATCTTTCTTCAAACTCATTTTCTTTATCGAAACGCATAATCATGAGATCAGTGTTACTAATAACGATTTTTATTCGTTTTCTTAATCTTTCTTTTCTTTATGTAACAATTTTTTTTTCGATAAATTTTCCACGCTCACACAGCGTGCCACAAGTGCTCGTGCTCAACGATTGTGGAATCGATCAAGCTGGCGCAGCGGAAGACTTGAAGAAAAAATGCAACACGGTTAAAGAGCTTGATTTGGCACAAAACAAACTTGAGAATTGGAATGAGGTATGTTTGTTGAATGTTTTTAGTGACAATGACCCAATTCACGATGTCGTTCACGAAATTTAAAAATAGCACAACCATAAGAATCTTTTCCTTTTCTCATGTGTATTGTCATTTCGTCTGTCAACAGATTTTCAGTATTTTGACACAAATGCCGAAAATTGAGTTCGTTAACTTGAGCCTTAATCGATTAGAAACGCCAATTATTGCACCTCCGCCTTGTTCAATGACAAATTTGAGATCTTTGGTGCTTAACAACACAAAGCTCAACTGGTTTAATGTTGAAGAACTTTTAAAGCTTCTGCCATGTCTTGAGGAACTTCATTTAAGTTTGAACGAATACACTCATGTTCTTCTCGATACAATCGAAGATGACGATGATCAGGAATTCGTTAACTGTAAGCCATCCGATGAATGCAATTGTGATGATGAAACACCATCAAGTCTCGGTAGCAATGAAGGTGAACATAATTAAATCGTTTGAATTCAATAAAAATTCTTTACTAATTGAATGTAAAAAAATAATATTAAAATTCAAGGTTCAACATGCTGCAACGCTTATCGCAAGACCACAAACGCACATGATGGTGTGAAAAAGTTGCATTTGAATGGAAATCCTATAACAGATTGGTTTGAAATTTGTCGACTTGGTCGTGTGTTTCCTCAATTAGAAGCATTGTTTCTTGCCGAATGTCCTTTAAGGTCGATATCGCCATTACCATCACCACCAATCGAAGAGGAAATTGAAACAAATGACAATCAAACACCACACGAACATTTCAAGTAAAAATCATTAATGAGTCGTTTCAACGATTACTCAATAGATAATTATTGTTTTTTCGTTTCATGTTTTTCAATAGAAACCTTCAGCTTTTAAACCTAAGCAGTGCCAATATCAATTCATGGACTGATATTGATCGACTGAGTAAATTTCCCGCTCTGAAAAATTTACGTGTGCAAAATTGGCCTTTATGGAGTAAATGTAATTCGACTGAACAGGAACGGCGTCAATTTGTGATCGCGCGATTGCCACAAATCGAAGTGTTGAATGGTGGTGGACCGATTGGATCGGAAGAACGTGAAGATGCTGAAAGAGCTTTCATTCGTTATTATATGGAACGTCCAGAAAATGAGCGGCCATCAAGATTTGACGAATTACAAGCAAAGCATGGACGTTTGGATCCTTTGGTGAAAATTGATTTGAGACCTGAGAAAAAGTAAGGCAAGATTTTGACTTTATTCAGATTCAGAATTCACTTAAAATTTATTTCAGAGTTCAAATAAAATTTACATTCAAAGATCGAAATGAGGTCCGATATGTTAATATTTACCGGTGAGTTAAGTTTATTGACAACTTCTTGCAATCTTTTACAAAATTTTTATGATTCTAGAACCGTCTCCGATCTCAAACTTCGTCTTGAAAAACTTTTTGGTCATCCAGCTAATAAAATGCGATTATTCTACATTGATAGAAGTTACGAAGAATTGATGGAACCTAAAGAGATGAGATATCCCAGTAAACAACTTTACACCTTTAAAATAGCAACAGGTGATGAGATTATCATCGAGCCTAAAGATTGTCCAAAATCTCCCGAAAAAATGGAGGCAACTTAAAACATTGATTGTGATTTTTATTTTTTCTCGTCAGTAATTTTCTTTCTATTTAAAATAATGTTGCAGCGAAGAAAAGTTACTTGAACTTATTGAAATGAATTTAATGACTCATTGATTACAGTTCTAGTTCTGTTCCTCGTTACATCATAATTAATTTTTATTAAAATATTCTTGATATAACGTAGAAGATGCTGATAAGAAAAACATATTTGAGATTTTGTTGTTGTGATGAAAGAAAATTCTTAAGTTAAGAAATTATTGACATCAGAAATGAAAAACTTTGAAAGTCAAGGGAAAATATTAGTCAAGTAATGTTGAGTGTCAAGTATACCTCAAGTTCGAAACTTTATTCAAAATTAAGTCAAGAACAAAAAATCAATTAAGTTCCTTATAAAGATCCAGTTATAATCAATCACATAAAAACAAAATCGAGAATTATAAATATTCAGCATCTTCTTTCAACAACAATCAAACAATCACTGACCTTAATATTGAAACAAACATCAGGATATAAGACAACTAACAAAAGAAGAAAGATCATCGCCATGTGACATGTATTAACATAACAGTAACTTTAGCGTACTAATTTCGCACAGTTTAAGTTTACAGATAATGGGCTCTGGTAGCTTCTAACATCAACAACAAGATTCTGCGCCATAATATGAGTCATTTAATGAAACGTTTTTCAATTAAAAAAGCTTTTCAATTTATTCTAACAAATGACTTTTATTTTATTCCCATAAACAAATACTGGCCTTCCAAGGTTTTAAAGTCGATTGAATGTTATGATGATTATAAATAGAATTTTTCTTCATAAAATGAAGTTGTTGTTATGATAAATGAATGTGTAGATTGTTTATCTATTAGAAATCGATGAGACTTTATAGCTACAGAAGACTTGTTGCACGACATCACAACGTTCAATCAACGATAAATATTTGGAAGTGATTTTTAAAAGATTTTAAACGAATCTATTTTTAAGTGAAAGTCAAGAGTAAGCGGTTGAGAAAACGTGAATATTCAACTTACAATACATCACAGTTTTGTTTATGTTTATGAATTATATTTGTGACACAAACGATTTTTCCCCCCAAGTTTTTCTTACACAACTCACGCTTGTGATTCTGTCGATGTTTTCATTTTAATTTATTTTTAAACACGGCAGACTTTTAAAAGCATTTTTCTGTCTTCTTAAGCTTATGTTGCATGCTCGTTTTGATAGTTTGTTTGAAATAATTTCACTTAAATTTATTTTAAAATAAATGGTGACTTTCCATAACTTTTAAATGAGCATAAAAGTTGAGAAATATCTAACTGACTTTGTTTCTAAAATTGATTTGAAATTGATATGAAACCTAAAATAATGACTTTCAATAAAGAAGCAAATAAATAAGGAAAACAGAAAATATGAGTTTTTTTCACAAATTACAATTTTCAGATTTACGTTTCGATGCAAGTTTATTTTTTTAAAATTGTGTTTTTGAAGAAGTTCCTTGATGAATTGCAATGTAATCTTCTTCTTTTCGTGAGGTTCAGGGGAACAGTGAGGCTCTCCAAAAAAATATTACAATTTCCAAGATACTTTAATAGATTCTCGTTATGAACGTAGGAATTACTTTCATGGAATGATCACTTTCAAAAATCATTTTCTTCGTTATTTCAGCAATCATTTATCACTTTTCACATTTTTCCTTTTCAATTTCATTTCACTTTTTTACAATGTTATATATTCCTGCGTTCAAACTCTATCCCAATTCATATTACAAATGTTCACAACAAAGGTTTTTGGAAGATAATGCTAATGATAGTATAGATCTGTTTTTTATTGAATCGTCATAAAACATCTGTTTAAAACTGAAGAAATAAAGCGTGCAATCAATTGAAGTCTTTATCTCAAATGAAACAACTTCACAAATATTAGTCTGGTCCTTAACTGAAACACAAATAGACTCATCACAGGAATTGTTTGTTCTACATACACACATGCCGAGAAAAGTATGTTCTACCCATTTCTGATGACGATGATAAAACGTGTACTCAATTAAAGTGTTTTCTCAAATGAAACAACTTTACAAATATTGAGTTGAAATTATGACGAATAAGTGAAGGATATTTGAAAACTTGAGAGCATTTAACTATATTTAATCATCTTTTTATTCATCTTAATAACAAAAGGTCTTTCGACAATCATTGCACTATTCTTTTAAGCTATAAAATTAAGATGGTGAAACCTGAAAAATGAATTAAAATATGAATTACATTTAAGAAATGATTTTCAATTTCGTTCACATATCTAAGCATTCAAAAGTTTGGGTTATCAGAATCCCTAGGTTTTCAAAAACCTGGAAAAAGGGACTTTGAAAGGAATGTTTATTACATACAAAAGTAAACGTCAAGAAACACATTTCACCTAAGAATTTGTACAGAAATTTATCAGACAGAAAAATATTGAATTGAATCGTTACAAATTCCACGAAGACTCTCCAACGATTTCTGATTTTTGTGGAATATAATATAATTTTTCACTCACAAAATATAAACTTTAATATGATCAAAAAAACTAGGGAAAAGGGAAAACAAATTTTTTAAAATATTTCTTGGTTTTTCCCTTAGCGGAAATTTTATTCATTATCATGTAATTAGGTATATTTTACATACATTTCTTTCTTTAACATTTTCATTTTTTATCTACAACAAGGAAAACCCAAAATGCAACACCAAATATTGGATGCTGTTGCAGACACGTCTCCGGCTAGTGGATTTGATGGCATAGATACGTCTTCGGGTAGTGGATTTGATGGCATAGATACGTCTTCGGGTAGTGGATTAGATGGCGCACTAATGACCAGCCCTACCCCCAGTAGAACCAAAAAGAACACAACTTTTAATGTTTGATTTTTCATTATTTCTCAAGTCTCGTTAGCTTAATAAAAACAGTCAAAATGGCATAAATGATTAGAAGCAACCGTTTTTATAGCAGGCGATACATAAGAAAATTTCAAGTTAATGATAAAAATGACACGACTAAATACGAATTAAGACGAAGACTTTTCTTGCAGCAATGTAGAAAAAACACTCAAATTATAAAAGCTCATCAAAGAATATGATGATAGAAAGTCGTACACAAAATGTATGATCATACCTGATGAAAAGCTTTGAATTGAGAGAATCTTTCTTACAAGGAAAATTTGTGATATCCATTGAAAAAACTTGTGTCAATTAGTCAATTTTATGACTTTCTTGCCTTGATAGTGTTTATTTTATCGATTAAAAACGTTCAATTTAATGATAAAAATGAGGTGATTAACTGCGAATTAAGACGAATACACTTTTCTTGCAGCAATACTGAAAAAACACACTTAAGCATTCTACAAAAGTTTGTACTAAGATATATCTGTAATCAATGATATGAATTTAAAACAACAAATAGAGTAGAGATGGTGGTTTATGGAGAGTTTTGAGAAAATTGAATAAGGGCGATATGCAGGTAAAGCACATAATTTTAAGCTGTTCATAAACTGTAGTCAACCAAAACTTTTCTAAACTTTATTAGGTATTTAACAAAAACCCTGAAATCAGTTTTAGAATACTTCTTATACGAATATGGTTTTAATTTACATTTTCCATCATATTAACCAATACCGTTCCGTTACAAGCCGAATTTCTATTGGAGAATTTGATCCACATCCTTTCGTTGTTGAGTACTGAAACTTTGCTAAAACTTTTATGCAACCATCATTTAACAAGCTTTTTCTGCTAATTTTTGTGTGAAATACAACTTAAAATATAAAAGCTAGTCAAACAATATGATGATAGAAAGTCGTATACAAAATTTCTGATCTTGAAAAACTTATTTAAAACTGGCGCATTATGGTATCTAGTATAGATAATACATACAAAAAATTAAATCTATTTAAAATGAAAATGTTTTCTCATTACGTTTAATTTTATTGCGATTAATCTCCTGATTCCATGTCATTCGAAGAGAATAAATTGAAAATTGATTTTGACTTCNAAATATGAAATACAATATATAATTAAAAAATAAAATTTGTTTTTTCACATATCTATCTAAGCATTTAAAATTTTGGTTATCAATATCCCTTGGTTTTGAAAAACTAATGAAAAGGGAAATTTATTGCGAACAAAATTGATCAACAAATTTCATCACAAATTTTATACAGAAATTTATCAGACAAAATAATGTTAAATTGAATCATTACAAATTTCACAAAGATTTCAACTGCAACGATTTCTGATTTTTGTGGAATAGTATAATTTTTAACTCACAAAATATTAATTTTCTTTCGAAATGTAGCAATTTTATCGCTCAAAATTCCTTCTTGGGAATGTGACCAAAAAATTGTGGAAAAGGAAAGAAGGAACTTTTAAAAATATATCTTGGTTTTCCCTAAGAGAACGTCTCTAAACTTTTAATAAAACCCATCTAATTTCATTTTACATACATTTCTTTCTTTTACATTTTCATTCATTATTGATTGTTATTCAAATCGTATACAACAAGAAAAACCGAAGAGGCAACAAATAAAGTTGGGTACTTGTGCAGACACATCTTGGGACTCTCCAAACACGTCTCCAGCTAGTGGATTAGATGGCACAGATATGTCTTCGGGTAGTGGATGAGATGGGGCACTAATGACCAGCCCTACCCCCAGTAGAACCAAGAAAAACACAACTTTTAATATATTATGTTTCATTATTTCTCAAGTCTCGTTAGTTTAAAAAAAACAGTCAAAATGGCATAAATTATTAAAAGCATTCGTTTTTATATCAGGACATACATTAAAAAAGTTCAATTTAATGATAAAAATGACGCGATTAACAACGAATTAAGACGAATACTTTTCTTGCAGCAATGTAGAAAAAGAACACATTTAAGCATTCTACTACAGTATGTACCAATATATATCTACATATAATCAATGAAATGAATTTAAAAAAAATGATAAGAATAAAGATGGTGTTTTTTGGAGATTTTAGAGAACTAAATATGGACTATTTTATCTGTACACCATTTTAAACTGTTCATGAACTGTAGTCAACCAAAACTTTTCTAAACTTTATTATTTAACAAAAACCCTGAAATCAGTTTTAGAATTTTTCTTATACGTTTATGGTTTTAATTTACATTTTCCATCATATTAACCAATACCGTTCCGTTACAAGCCGAATTTCTATTGGAGAATTTGATCCACATCCTTTCGTTGTTGAGTACTGAAACTTTGCTAAAACTTTTATGCAACCATCATTTAACAAGCTTTTTCTGCTAATTTTTGTGTGAAATACAACTTAAAATATAAAAGCTAGTCAAACAATATGATGATAGAAAGTCGTATACAAAATTTCTGATCTTGAAAAACTTATTTAAAACTGGCGCATTATGGTAGTAGATAATACATACAAAAAATTAAATCTATTTAAAATGAAAATGTTAATGTTTTCTCATTACGTTTAATTTTATTGCGATTAATCTCCTGATTCCATGTCATTCGAAGAGAATAAATTGAAAATTGATTTTGACTTCTTTTCACAAACGATGATATCATAAGATATGATGATTGTAAAAAGGATTCTTTTTCTCTCAAAATCAGTGTCAGTTATGATCATGCGTGATGAAAAGCTTTCAATCGAGAGAATCTTTCTTTCAATTCGAAGGGGAAATTTTGTGATCTTTATTAATAAAATGTGTCAATGTTTGTTAATTTTTATACCTGATTGTCTTGATAATTTTTTTTCGATTGTTTTTGATATAAAATGATGCGTGTCATTCGACCTTCACAATTCTATTTACAACAACACTTTCTCTTCAGCAACAATCTTAGTAATCTCTCACACTCGCACTGGAAAAGGACGAGAAAATCTTTCATTGGATTTTCACGACAGCGACTCTCAGTATTTTCTCTATTTTCCTCTTATGTCGACACGAATTTCTATAGGATAAAAACATTTTTCAATTTTTCTAGTTATATTAACTTAATAGTCGGAGAAATAATTTTTAGATCTGTTTTCAAGTGCTGTCGTCAATAAGTCGGAAAGCATAACAGCGTGAAGTGAGTGATTGGAATATTATCTTGATTGATATACCCTTCATGAGTTACTAACAATAGAAGTCAAGTTAAATCACAAAGCAAAGAAGAAAATCAAGCTTTAAGATACGCACGACAGGCGTAATGATTTTTATTCACATCGGAAACTCGAGAAAAAAAACTCGTAGTTTTGTCAAGACGAATGTGACTTCCGAGTTTTACTCTCTACGACTCAATGTGATTGCTGATAAAAATTCATATTGAGTGCAGACTTCAAGGCTTCACAACAAGTACCAAAGCCGTCTACAACTTCTTTCTTTTATTGGATTTTTATTCTCATTCTCTTTGGTTACTTTAATATCTTTAAGATTTGCTTAGTTCATATCAACTCAATACGTGTTTGTAAAAGAAGGCATTAGAAATTTTATATTTATTGCGTGGATCAGTTTAAGAAGAAAATAAAGAATAAGAAAGACGACTTTATGATATATTCAGAAAAAATTGATAGGTTCTTGACCTACACATGAATTATTTTCTATCATGAACAACTTTGAGATTTTAACTTAATTTTTCTTATTCAACAACAAAAAAAGTGTACAACTCTTAGTCATTGGTAAAGCAATAAATTTCCTTTTTTGAGAGAAAATAATTTCTTGTAGAGACATTGTCAACCCTCAACACTGTTAGTGAAATTTAAATGATCAAAGGAAAACTTTTCCATGCAAAATAATTCAAACAAGAATTTTTTTTTGTGATTTTCATTTCAGATTTTAACTGGAAGGAAAGATGCTGGAAAACTTTGAATTTTTCATGATTAAACCAGTTCATTATGATGAAGTTATTGAGCATTTAAAAAATAATTTCTTCTATGATGAGCCCTTAAATCGAGCTGTTGGATTATGCAGTAGCAAAGGAGAAGGTCATCCAGAATTGGAGAAGCACAGTTTGGCAACTTTGAGTGATGGAGTTTCGGTTGCGGTTCAGAATTCGAAAGGAGACATCGTAGGTGTTTGCCTAAACGGATTTCTTCATCCTGGAGAAACTTTAAAAGCAAAAGAAGCTTTAAATGCTAGTCAGGATGAGAAATTTCAGAGAATCTTTAACCTTCTCTACGATCAAAACTTGAAATTTGATTTGTTTGAAGAGCTTAATGTCGACAGAATATTTGAGTTTCGAATATTATCTGTTGACAAAAATTATCGCGGTCAAGGTCTTGCCAAGAAATTAATGCAGAAAAGCGAAAATATTGCAAGAAAGTATCATTGCAAGGTTGTTAAAGGTGATGCGACCGCTGCTGGTTCTCTAGCAGTTTGCCTTTCACTTGGCCTTAAGCCAATTGCCGAAATTCATTACAAGGAAACTGATATGAACGTCAGCCCACCACACGAGAAACTTGTTATTCTCTATAAGGTTCTCGATGACGAAAAGTAAACTTTTTAATGCACATGATTGCAACTGTGTGGTGCATCAAATTTCGCACAAAAAAAAATTTATGAAACAGAACCAATTTTAAATTGCACAATAATGTTTGACCAAATTGTTGAGAAAACAAAATTTTTCTTGAAATTAAAACTGTTTTGACATTGGCAAAGAAAAATTTTACATGAAAGCATTTGATCTCTTTTATTAATTTTAAAGAAAATAACATCTTGGGGGTTTGTTATTGTTAAATATATATAGAAGTGTTATATGTGATGTTGAATGGAAATAAAACAATGAAAATATTTCACCCTTAATAAACATGAAAGTCTTTTAAACTGAACGAAAGTGATGTTAACTTCTATTGACAACAATATTACTTAATAAATTTAGATATGTAGGAAATGAAATCTCGTAACATTATCGCCAAACAAATCGTGTTATGGAAAGCCTAAATTGTTAATTCCATTAGATGATGAATCATTTTTTCTTCCAAAACTGTTATATCTTATACGTGCACAACCAACGAAACGACCTGCCAAACGATACAACAAGAAGCTTTTACAAATCATCAATGCAAATTCGCAAACTCATGAAGACCGAAATGTTCAACAACCTTCAGCATGCCGAATATGGTGAATGAAATCATCAGCTAAAGCGCTTGAAATACGCAGATTCTTACAATATTCGACAATATTTAAAATCTTATGAAAATATTTATCTCACAAAGGAAGTCGTTTTTAATTTTCTTATCATTCTAATTATAAATGGTAAAAGCACTTTGATAATGGCCAGGGCAACTAAATTCTTTTCGTGGAAAAGGATTTTATAAAACACTTATCTACGTGCTTTTCGTATTTAACTGTTTGATTATAATTTTTCAGATAAGATAAAATAATTTCTCATATAAATATCTCAAAAATTTTTATCTTTCTTTTATAAATTAATTGAAAGTTGAATTGAAAAGTGCTTCAAAATGAAATTTCAAGTAATTTTAACGTTATTCTTGGTGTTTTTTGCTGTCTTCAAAGTTGAAGGTTCAGCGATAAGAGAAGTCGAAGAAGGCAAGGCAGGCCTATTTTGCGAATGCATTGTAAATGGTACCCCAGCGTTGTGCGAAGATGGAACCTATTGGAGACCCGATGAATGCAATGTTTGTGTATGTCTAGATGGATCGAACATGTGCACAGGAATAGTTTGTTAACCAGAAATCATGAAAACAAATAACAAAAATCAAGCCGACCTTTCCACCTGTTGCTGAAATGAAATGAACGCTTAATCATTCTAATTTTACAATCATCCTCTGTAATTAAATAAAGCAGTTTTGGATTGACGCCAATTTCCGTTCATCATATGAACCTTTTTCAAGTTCATTTTCTAATTAATCAAATAAAGTACGATTGAATTCAAACAATGAAGTTTGTTGTGATTTTTGTGTTGATTTTATGTGTTATTCTCCAAACAATTAACGGAGCGCCATGTGAAAGGGAAAGTGTTCCGTGTGAGTCATCCTGACATTCAATATTCATTGAAAAAATTTATCTTTTGAACCATTTCCGTTGTTACAATTCAAGGGCTTGAAACTGTCAATATAGCGGAAGGTTGTGTATCGGGTGAAGAGATTCAATATCAATGTAAAGAATGTAAATGCGATGAGAATGGAAAAACAGCAAGTTGTCCAAAGTGGATTAAATGTTGCAATATTGGCGATGTGTGGTCAACAAATGCTTGCAATATTTGCGTTTGCAATGAAAGCTATCAACGAATATGTGAGGCAACTAAATGTTCTTTTCATCGAAAACCGTAGGTAATTGTATTCTCACCATGTTGTTGACCTCTTCTCTCGACTTATTTATTAAGTATGTGATGTGACTTCATATTTATTTATTGCTATTCTAATAGAAATGTTGTCTAAGTAGTAAAGAGTGGATTTATTTTTTAAAAGACTTACTCATGCCATTTAAGAATAAAATGGAGATAGAAAAAAGATTTTCTGCTGTAGTGAAGTCACTTCCATCCATCTTTCAGTTTATTGAATTCCAAGTGAATCAGATTAGTTTCGTAAGTGTTTACAATGAACGAGAAAGTATGTTTGGGTATCAAATTTGTTTTAATGATATGCAACATTGTAAATAATTACTCACTCAGTTATCGTTATTTATCATCAATTCAATAAATATTCTTGAGCACATTTGTCGATATTTATCTGAATAATTCTGTAAACAAAATGATTTTTGATTCCATTCACTTGCATGTGGTGGAAAATTAAAAATGATTGTGATTAAATTACTCAATTAAACGTCATTCTCTGACTTTATTTTCCTCTTCTTCTTGCTTCTATTTATTTTTGTTTGATTTGTGTAACTTTTTGTTTTCGGTTATTATTTTCCTGGGCATTTATTTTTTATTTATTTATTTATTTATTTATTTATGTAGCACATTTTAAAGAAAATTTTTATAACTTTTACATGCAACAATAATAATACAATTAAATTAATAAAGTTTTATGTATTTCTTCATCTTTAATTTGATTTTGTTTCCTGTTTTCAAATTTAAAAAATTATTACACAACTTTTTATCATCTGATCAATGTAAACTTATTGACTTTCAATTTCAGTTATGCAATGTATGAAAAGAATTACTTTTTTGCAAGATTTTTATAACGTTGGGTGAAAAAGTTTCTCCTGTTTGGCTTTTGGGAATGTTTAACTTTTTTTCGTGTGACGATGAACTTTCTGACAATTCCAGATTCTTGATAATTAATCTTAGTTAATAGAAAGCGAGATCAACATTCTCTCTATAAAATTGTATGTAAAATGTATCTGCTGACAGCGTAAAGTCATCGTGTTTGTATGTTAAGTGATTATTTTCGGAAAATTATTTGATTTCCTCAATTTTCACGCTTTCCTCGCTTTTATTTTTACTCACGATTATCAAAACAAAATTCTATTTTCATTTTTCCCCAAAGAAACTATTTTTAAACGAAAAGAAAAAAATTGTTTATAAATTTAGAAAAAGTAAAAAGAAATTAAATTGTAGCTTCAGTCATGTTTCAGAGACATTCTCACATTTCTATTTTACGACAATGAAATATCAATTTAAGCTTGACATTTCATTGTGGAAACATTTTCCGCTAATTCGTTTCAATTTACGACTTTTTTCTCATCTATCAAAGAAGGAAAATAAAAAAACTCAAATCGTGTCATTGCGCTTTGTGGTTACACAATTCAATTAAACGCTCAGATTCGCTATTGTCAATTTCAAAAAAGATTTGATTTGTTTTCTCTGTCAGTTCTCATGACAAGCGTTGCGTTGCGTGTTGCCAGACAAGCAAATCTTGATGAATATTTTTTTCTAGGTCATAAGCTGGCTGCGGTCGGTCATTTACCATTCTTGGCTTTTCCTTTATTTTCAAATTTCAAATAAAACAACTTCAAGTTTTATGTACGTTCTCGTGACGTGACAAACCCACATTGGAGTTTTCCAAATCTTTTGTTGTAAGTCATTGAACTTCAACAACATGGAAATGCGCAAGAATCAAACTTTTTTGAATGTGAATACCACAGGCAGACCTCTAATATGAATCGTTAAGAACAAATTTCAAGGAAATGTTTTAAATTCTCTTTGTATAAGATTTGTGGTTGTGAAAATGTTTTTGGCTTTTGCAAAGCTTTAAATAATTTCTTTATGATGGTGTAAAAGTAAATATTTTTTATGTCTCGTTGGATATGAAATGTCTAATAAGTAATTATCGTGACACCACCTAATTAACAAACACCGAATGGCAGTTGTCATATGGCCTTGGGTCACGCTTCAACTTCTACAGTATTATTAATCACACAACTAGGAGTAAATATTCTACTCAAATTCATTTTCTTTATGCATTCAATGAAATGAAAGTTTTCATGATAAAAACTTGATCCTTTAGATACTTTTGAAATTCATTTCATTTATTATCATACTTAAGTTTCTATTTAGCTAAGATAACTTCAAATTTTTCAAATTATTGTGAGAGGCAAATTATCATTAAATGAAAGTTCATCTAGGAGAAAAATAAGAAAAAGAATTCAGTTACATCATTTAGCTTCTCTTGCATTTTAATTTCATTCAATTTGGTATTACAAAATCTTCAAATTTTTCAAGGGATTGTTCATAAGTTTTGTCTCTCGAGAAGATATTGAAAAATTTATTTCGACTAATGGAAAACAAATTAATGAACAAAATTATTATTAATATTTTTATTAAGTTATAAAAAAGAATTGGCAATAAGCAGACTTCTATTACGAAATATCAGTTCACATTCCACTCGTCGTCATTGCTGAACAATCCCTTAGACATTTTACTTATTGAAAAATTAAAAAAAAAATACAAAAAATGGTGCAAGAAAAAGAAAAAAATAAATTTTGAATTATTTCCGCATAGCTCGCGATTGCCACGCTAAGCTTTTAAGCATTTAAACTTTTAATTATTTAATTATTCACTAGTTTAATTCATTTCATCAATAATATTAATTAATTAATATGTGTAGGTAGTGTTTTTCCTTCTGGTTCCTTACTTTCCTTCTTACCTTTTTCTTTTTATTTATTTTAATTCACGCGATTTTCTTTCATATTTTGGAAAAAAAACTTCAACAACATGAGAGAAAAAAAAAGTTTTTGGCTAATAAAAAATTATATTGAATGAGAAATAAATTGATGAATATATGAAAATAAAGATTAATGCTTTTGTTATTTAAAGTAAGTCAGACTGCTTGAATTTCACAAGAGTCGATCTAATGGAAGCAAAAATAATAAAGCGACAAGTTAAAGTTTTTCCAAATTACGCGCGAGGTTTTCGTTTGATTTTGTTTTCTCTTTTTTTGTGATGGCTTCTTCAAGGTGATGTAAGAAAGATAAAATGAAGTTTAATGATTGTAGGAGATGGCTTGTGGTACTCCATTTACTGTCTTTGATTTTAGAATATCATTTTCATATGACATGACTGTTTCAACTCCATTTTCATAGACTCTGGAAGATGAAAGGAGAGAGAAATTTTATTAATATTCATCATTAGTAAAATGACATGAAAATTCTTTTTTAAACTTTTCATTTCACTCACTTTTTCGTCACAACTTTTTTTCCATTGACGAAGCTAGTTGATGTGCTGATTCGTTTGACATTTCCACCTCCACCGCCACTGTGCGAACCATTACTGAATGTTGAAAGAGATGTGAAGCCACCGTTCATAGCACTCAATCCACCAAAACCATGTGGTGAGAACATATCGTCCATCAGTGAGAAACTCAAGAAGGGTGACATGACATTTTGCGGGTGCGACGAACGATGATGTGGATGTCGACTGCCGCCAGCATTTCCATTCTGATGATGATGTCGTCGGCTATGTCCTTGATTGAAAATATCATCGAAAGGACTTCCACCAAAGAATTCTCTAAAAACTTCTTCTGGATCACGGAATACGAACGGGAATCCGCCAAAGATGAAGTCACTCTCAAATGGATCGTGATGTCTTCGACGATGGTGATTACCATGACTTCCTTCATTATGTCCTAACAGCCCTTCTTTTCCATACTGATCATAAATACGACGCTTTTTCTCTATTTAAAAGCAAATGAAACAGAAAAAAGTTCCGATAAGAAATTTGCACATTTAATTTATGAATTTTCTGTTAAGCATAAATGAAGTTGAGTCAACCGGAAGCTATAAAAAATGTCAGATGTCAACTACTGCAGATGATAATTAGTTGAAAATGTAAAGCGAAAAAACTCAGCAACTCGATGTATAATTTAAGGTCAAATAGGAACGCGATAAATGAATTTTAGGTACTTCATAGCATTTCCGCTAATTAAATTAGTCATTTGTGATTTGCGATATTGAGATGAGAATAATTTTCCAACAAAACCTCATTAGTCACAAGAGTTATAAGGAAACTGTTCTGGGGCTGTTAAATGAACAAAGAAAATTGTTCGTTATTACTGATTACTATCCAATGTTTAGATTTCATCACTAATGGCAACATTTCAATGCTTGTCAACGCTGTTATCAAGCTTTTGCAATAACTAAAAGCAAATTATATCACGTGTTCAAGAAGGTTGAATTTACAGCAAGTCTCATCAAAATGTTGTTAAACTTTTATTTGTTGCACATTCAAAACAAATTAAAGTCAAATTAAAATGTCATAAAATTACCAATTGCAAAAAAAAAATTCTAATAAGCTTCTATTTAGAGATCAACAACCTTATGACACACATAAATTAGATCGCAATTCGATTGCTTGTGTTGTTCTCAATTTTGTTGAAAATTTTATTTGATTTCTTCTGCCAATTTAATTTTATTAAGACTTGATAAAACCATTAACAGTTGTTGTCATATAGTGCAAAATTAAATCAGTGGATCGTAATCAGACTGGTGACAGTTTCAATCAGTTTCATTCATTTAATTTACCAGTCGAACAAGCATTAAATCGTCAATTCAAAAAGTAAACCACACACAAAAAAAATTCAAAGCCAATTAAAAGACAAAAAAGCTTTTCTTAGATCTACCGCCCAAGAAACGAGAAAAAATCTTTTCAAAAAGCCCTCGAAACATCGACGAACGTAAATTACTCGAGCTATAATCACTGTAACGTGAACTGTTATAGCGCGGTCCATCATATCGATCATAACTTGAAGAGTAATCGCGTGAAGACGGCTGATAATGGGAGCGGGACGAAGTCTTCGTTGATTCATAGCGACCGCTTCTTACATCATCGTAGATTTTTCGTTTCTTTGCTAAAAATTTCAGGGGATATTTTTTTTGTTTCGTTTTATCAAAAATTGTTGAGTTATTTAAGAAGAAAGAGAGAGAGAAAGAGATAAGGATAACAAATTCTAAATAAAATTCTTCCATTCTTATTCATCTATTCATCGATAGTCGAGTGGAATGAGTCATCTTAATCGATTTCATTTAAAAGTGACCAAGGTCAGGGATTATAAATGACAAAACTTACCATCACTTAGCACTTCATATGCTTCAGAGATCTCACGAAATTTTCTGTTGGCTTCATCCAAGTTATCAGGATTCTTATCAGGGTGCCATTTAAGAGCTAATTTTTTGTATCTACGAAAATAAACAGTTGGTTTGATTAGAGATTTCTGAATATAATAAGAAGATTATGAAGGTCTTCTCAAGCATTTAATAAACAATCAGATAAGAGACAAAATGATGAAACTTACGCTTTCTTTATTTCAGCATCTGTTGCCGTTTTGCTTACTTCCAATATTCTGTAATATTCCACCATTTGGATTGTTGTGTCTTTGCCTTAAGTCTCAAAAGTTTCAACGAAGAATTAATTTATCTACAACAAATCTCCGTCTCCAGACTCAGAAATCAACAAAAGTAAAAATATAGAAAAGAAAACCACCAGATGATTATGTTTTCTTTGCTCGATTTTCTTTTTTGTGTAACTTGAAGAATAATCTAAGAAAGCGCTGATAAGATGATCTCGATAGTGATTGCTTTAAAGCTTCACTTAGATTAACCTACATATGGGAACGAGAGAAAAACGAATACAAGTTGTTAGCTTTTTATGTTAATGTCTAACATTTTATTTAAATACTGCTGATGCTGGTGTGGTGTAGAAATCGAATCGTTTAAGGAAGTTTTTTTCTTCTACTTGTATCTTTTAAATTTTATACAAGGAAATTCGGAGAACAATATGAAATATTTGATTTTAAATATTCTGTAAGATTCTTCAGTCCACACCAGCATCTTAATGTTATCGCTATTTACAATGAAAAATAAAGCCTCAATTGAATTGTACTTGATCATGCAATCGATGCTTTTGTTCTCAGTAAATATTTAACTTCAGAAAAGAGCAATTATTGCATAACTAGAGAACGTCATTCGCATTAAAGTTTTACTTTCGATGACGAAATACGAGTATGCGTGTTCTAGTCACTTGTGGGTGGCGAAAAAAGAAGAAAAATTGTTTTAAGTATTTTCGTTCATCTAATCAAGAAGAGATGAAATGAGAGATGTGACGGTATGGCTTTTAGTTTACTTCGATTCTTAGCTGAATTTTTATTGTTTACAACGGTGTGTGGTGGTAATGATGATGAAATTAGATTTCATTTGTCTTCAAGTTTTTTTTCCGTTGTAACCGCAAAATATGTAGCTAGGCAGAAGTAATTGTTATTTGTGATTACAAAAAAATTCGATGCTTGTTAAATTACTTCGATTGCAGAATACTTTGCGGTCTCGTGTTCAAAACGTTCATAACACAAAAACTTTTTGATTATCTATCTTGTTGGAACGCAGACGCGAACTAACAACGGAATAAAACAGGTGATGTGAACTAACATTTGGGAACGGTCTGGAGAATACTCATTTGTTGTTTATTTTTTTATTGACAAAACAATGTCTTGAACCGTCGCATTTCTGGTGAACAAATCATATTAACCAGGGTGGAAAATGGGTGAGAAAGTGAATGTCAAAACATAATAAATATAAATTACGTGTAGTTGTATTTCTAGTATTTTCCGAACTCTAAACAAATGTCGTCATGTCAATAGTAAACGTTTATCAAATTCAACAGACCTAGACGGAATACAATGGAAAATTTCGCCAGTTTTAATGACAACCCCAAATCTAGACACTTTTTTTGACTCTACGTAATATTACAATTTTATGAGCGTGAAAGAACAATATGCCATAACTTAATTAATCAACAGTCTTTTTATGGGCTCACACTGGGCGGTAGAGTGCCATCATTAAACAATCAATCGATTCAATATTCATGTGTTACTGTCTGATCTCCCAATAACGCTTGAATGAACATCAAAATCTTCTAATGCACAACCATCAAAAATATTTTGGTCTTTTTTCTTCTCGTCGTATGAACACACACTCAAATTTGTTTTCATTTGTTGCCTTCTTTTTATTATCGTTTTCACCATATGATCTGTGAGCATAACGAGAATGTTTATGAACACGTTGGGAACTTCAAATCTTTATAATCACTTCGTATTCGTATAATTAACTTTCTCCACATTAAACTTTCAACAAACGTGCATAAATTGCCGCAGTGTCGATTTGAAAATGTGCTGATAACACATTTTTCTAACAAAGAACGTCTTTATCAACAAAATGAACAAGTATAGATGTAAAAGTTATGTGATACACTAAAAGTTGACGGAAAAAGGCGATTATAAACACGGAAATTATGAGCAAAAGTTTAAGTCATCAAATTGGCTCTGTAATAAATTCGATTTATGTGTCTTGCTTTATTTTGGAAATATGCCTCATCAGTTGGAGGCTTACTGAATAAGATTATTTCAATAAATGCACCAGAACCAGTTTTTTTTTCTTGGAGTTACGATTTCTAACTTTTTTTTCTTTTTAATATAATGCAGGGAAAATTTCAATTTTAACACGATTTCTTGGTATATACTTTATCACTCTATTAATTTTCAAGCACTTCAATACTAATAAGTACTTTAAATTCTAAATTAAGCCTTAGAAAACGCTAACTTACATCGAATTTAATTTTTTTCACAGCGATTTTTAACACAAACAGAAAATTACGAAGCTACTGAAATTTAACTGGATTCGGTCTGCTCGGGGCACAAGTGTATGGAATACGTTCAGAAAGATCTTTCTTCTGATTTTTTAAAAAAGATCGTTAAATTATTTGTTTCAATGATTTACGTTTTATTTAATTTTAACTTTTTTTTTCATTTATGAATTTTAATTCTTAATTATAATTTTTATAAAATTTTAAAATTTGTTAAATGATTATTCCCGAAAATAATAATCTTAAATGGAAGAAGATGACAAATAAAGTTTTTTCTCGCTTATAAATTAATTAATTAATTATTCAGATGTACCATTTCCCCGTGAGGAATTGTCAATTGCCTGCCGAAATGATGCAAACGAAAACTTTTTCGATGACATTATATGATCAAATTAGTTAAATGTTTTTCGAAACGATCCTTATTGTTATCCAAAAATATTTTATCTTCGACATTTAATGAAAGTTGTCCACCCGCAACTATAAACCTTAAGCCAGAGAATTTACGTCAAACATGTTCTGACATTAGGAAGAGCGAGGGCGAGTAAAACTTACGGAAAGGGAGGGGAAGATGAAAAATAAAAATGGATAAGCTTGAAATACGAAAAGAAACACACGTTTAAATCTATTTTTGAGATTATTGATTGCTGCTGGTGTGGGCTCGCTTCTTGTGATAAGAATACAAGGATTTTTGCGCGAAACCTTTGTTACAAACTAAAATGTAAAAACAAAAGGATGATGTTAGTCATGATTTGCATAATTTTAAGATTTTTATAAATATTACCATCGCAAACATAAGGACGTTCCCCTGTATGTTTACTGTAAGCATAAAAAAATTAAGTAAAACTCTTCAATAATTATTATCACTGATTTCTTACCGTTCGTGAATAATCAGGTGGCTTTTACTACCAAATTTCATGTCACAAAACGAGCAAGCGTGTTCTAAAAAGATTCAAAATATTTTTCTTAAGATTGCTTTTTAAGATATTTTCAATAAAAATTAAAATTTTACCTCGAATATTTTCATGTACAACTCGGATATGTTGGCTTAAGTACTGGCTATTGCACAGAACTTTAGAGCAAAGATGGCATTGAAGACTGAAAAGAATTAGTCTCAGTATGAGATAGTCATAGAAACGTTTTTTTTTTTTTGCAATTCTATTTAAGTGTGGATCTAGCTTGGGGGGAAAACAGAGTTTCGTATTAACTTACCCTCCGACTTTCTGATTAGTTTGCTGCATATTAGTTCCTTGAGCATTTTGTACATTTGCTTTAGTGCTTTTGCGTGTTGGTTGTGGATGTTCAATAATCTGAATAGGGACTGCTTGGTGGTGCTGTTGATTTTGTTGAATTGTTTGTATGTTTATTCCAGCATTGTTCTCATTTTCATTCAGAAAAGCAGCATATCGAAGGAGTATAATATTTCTTTCAGCTGGATTGTTTACTATTTCACCGTCTTCACGTTTTACAGTTATGAAATTCTCCATAGCTCATTGAATTTTTTCACTTTTTTGAGTTGAAAGCTTGGAAAAAATTATTTTTTTCAATGTTGTTTTAATTTCAAAGCCCATCAGTTCTGTCACACAAGAAAAATTTTCAAATGGGCATCCATATAATCCGACCAAACACTTCTGAAATTCAAATATGTAATAATACTGGACGAACTTTTATTTATGATATGAATTTTCTCAGCTCAAGCTGATCAAAAGGAGAAACTTTGAAGCTTTCATTTCTTTAATCTTGCGTAAATTGAAATTTTTCAACGTTCAAAATAAATTAACGAGTAAATATCCCGGACAGCCTCGGACAACAAATTGATTGTTCGAATTCTTAAAAGCGGTTATTATTTTCGGAATAAAATTACTAAACAAATTTATTTTAACAATTTTATTTAGATTCTCTCTGTGAAAAACATGATAATAAAATTTGTCATAAAGAAAATTGATTCTCAGTCTTAGGATGAAAAAAAAAATACATAACATTATTGTAAGAAGAAAAGGACAAGAAAAATAATTTTTAAAAAATTACATTTTGTCGTCCAGTTCTTCGATTAGTTTAGAAAAGTTGTAAAGCTAATTATAACTAATAAACTCGTCCATAAGCAAAGAGCTTACTATCGATCTCAAGAGATGACTGAGAAGGATTTGTTCCTGAACTCACAGAAAAAATACTTCGTCTCCCGCTATGATCAGACGATGGTCGAGACCGATAAATTCTTCTTTGTGATAAATAACGAAGAGAACAGAAGATAGCAATGATAACAGCTATTAAGAATATTATTCCTAAAGTGCAAAAGGCAATTGCTAGTTTTGATTGAGAGACACAAAGCACGTCTGGTCCTAGATAAGATGATGGCGATGATGTAAAAGCTGCAAAAAAAACAGAATTCCGTTATTTTGAAATTCACGTGGCCAAAACTTTTCAATTGACTTTTCTTACCACTTGATTTATTTTTTTCCATAGGGCGATCAATCTCTATTTGTGGAGCCAAAACTTTCAAGCTATTAAAAACTTCTATTCGTGCCAAAGGTTTGTTAATTTTTCGTTTATGATCTGCATTGCAATTTTCTTTTGGACATTCTCCTTTACACAGATGAACACCACAATTAAAGTGAATTATATCACGATCAGGAAATTTGAAAGCTTGAAATTTCGTTGTGAAAACTTTTTGTACAATATCATCATCATTGTTCTTAGACCATCCATCTTCAATATCAACAACAGTTTCAATGAAATCAGGCATGATTTGTGAGTCTATGGGACATCCAAATTCATCGAAAAGTCGTTGTGATGATTCGCCGACACCATCAAATGCTACACAATCAACAACTTTCATTCCAACATTTCTAGCTAAAACGCTGCGAACTAATAAGGTAGAATTTTCTCCAACAATTGCATAGTCTTGACCTTCTTTCGATCCCACCTCCAACCATGATCGAATCTTCGTCGCAGCCTTTAAGAACCTCATTCTTCCATTTCTCTGTTGCTTCACTTCATTCTCTTGCAGATTAACATCCATCATTTCTGACGGAACTAAGCATTTTGCATTAATCTCAACATCACTTTTCTGTTGTAGTTTTGAATCCATTTGTGCTACCAGTCTTACTGTGTATTGCATTGTATCTTTTGACATGAAAGTTGATCTGATGCCACATGATGAAAGTGGAAGTGTTAAGCTTTGTAAACCTTTAAAAACAAAAGAGTGATGAAATTTTATTTCTTATTTCAATTACATTCTCGACCTTTATCCAATATCTTATAAACTCACCAGGAACGCTTCCGCATTCTTCACTAAATCCTTTAGCAAAAATCATTCCTTTGAATGGTTGACCCATGTTGATCTTAACATGCATCAGATCTCTTGTACAATTAGCTTCTATTGATAAAATCTTCTGATCAACTTTATTTGCATGGATGCCCGCAAAACAATGCCACAATAAGACAAACAGTATCCGTGGCAGCATGATGCGCTTTCAATTGCCTTTCAAAATCAGCTTTGTAATTTTCAATTGTTTCTTCGTCTTCTTAGATTACCAGCTGTTATTCGATGACGTTTGAATCTCTCAACGCATTTAATTTCAATTTCATTTCCTGCAATTTACGGTAAGTAAGAAAAATTAAATCATCGTCTTGTAAATATTCATATGTGCGCTAGCAGAATTGTTATCTGCAGCACCACCACTTTAAGCCATGAGAAAGGAAATAATAAAGAGCCATGCGGAATTGATTAACTTTGTTGATTCATATTAAAAAGAAATTGTTTACATGCTAATTAAATTACTTTCGTACTCAACGGTTCAGAGTTGTTGCGTTTCATTGACTTGAGATTAAAACTAAATAAAGAAATAAAATTGTAGAGAAAATTTACCAAGAGAATGAAATCATTTGATTTTATGAAAAGATGTAACCAACAATTATTCTTTAGAACGCGAACAATACAACAATCAAAGCCAATGTCAATGTTCAAGATCACTCAAATAATTTCATAATTATGAAACATCTCGTTTATCATAAAAATTAATTAGACGCATTTAATTAGGAAGTTAATTTCTTTTCTTTTTTAATATCCATGAAAACACATTCAAAGTTGATTGATCTTTAAGCAAAATCAACAAACAAGCATCACTTATTTTAATTTTTGACGCTTTCGTTAGCTTAAACTTTCAATTTCATTCACGTACGTGATTTTCTTTTAAACATACACGTTATTTAATTGCGAGTACTATGAAGATATAAAGCAATTTTTCAATTAAAGAGTCTAATGATAGTCACTCTTCAAATACCTTATATTAAAATAATTCAAGGTGTCACTTTGATGTTAATCGTTCGTTGCTTACTTTAGAAGAAAAAAATGAATTTTAATTAACTGTAGAAGAATTTTTAATTTCGTTACTTTTAATAAGATTGTTTGTTTCTAAATTCTGACCCAGTACAGTTTGAAATTAAGCACAAGAGGAACTCATTAGAATTAACATAAAAATAAATCATTAAGTGAATTCTTCATATATGTATAAGTATAAACATACCGTTCATCTGTTCATTTACCCACAAACATCTAGTAAAGAAAAGCTCATACACCACAACAAGAAAGCAATTAATTAAGCATGTATCATGAAGCGAGATTTTTATTCAGTTAAAACGATTATTTGCACACTAAACGGTTACGCTTTCAGATCTATGCTTATAAGTTTAACGATCGCCACTCAAGATTTTTGCCATCAACTTTGTATCAAATTTCGACAACGCCTTGAGGTGTATCATATTGAAAACAAATCGTCTATGTTGTGTAATTTATGTCACGATACGAAGAAGAAACAGTCGGAAAAAGTAAACCTAATTTCTCTCTCACTTAGCGTCTTTGATGTCTAATTGTTGAACTATTCTTCAGGAAACATATTTGCTTATTTAATAGTCACTAAAGCGCTTCTTTTCTTCTTTGCATCAGATGACTGATTTCCAGCAAGCAAACACTGTGCTTGGTACCATCAAACAAAGAGGTAAAAAAACAGATTGAGAACATTTGCTTGAGCCGAGTTGGGTTGGAACAGAAACGTGAAGTGAAGAAAACCGTTGGACAATTAAATAATGTTTTTTCTTATGTTGGAAGTGAAGTTTGAAGTAAGAAAATAAAAAGAGAGAATATTTCAGATTTAAATAGGACAAGCTAAACTGTTGAAATGGGAACAGATTCTTCTGTTAAAATATGATTGCTGGTTTCTTGATTTTGGATTGCGTCTGATTCTCTTTCATTTTATCGGTGCTGGTTTGTTGCGTTTATAGAACAGCGACAGATAATTGATGTTCGGGATGTAAGTGGAACGGATGGATAATGAATGATGTTGATAAAGTCGATCTCGGTCATTTGGCAATGTCGATACATGGATGGGATAAGAAAATAAATTCCCTTTCTTTTTATCTTCGCTATGCTTATTTTTATTTAATGTTAATGTGTGGCCTATATGTCAGGTGATAATGAATATTTAGAAGAATACATAAAATAAAAAAAATCTAATTGGATACACCATTTATATTCATTTGCTTCGGATTTTATTATCTAGACGAGGTAGATAGTTAACAAATCATCAGGAAGGAAACACTTTATGGCAAACCGTTTTAGAGGGGAAATTTAACTGACAATTTTTTCATTAAATGTTATGCACTTCGTAACTAATAATTATCAAACGGAATCTTTCTAGATTTTACAACATTATGTTATGGATGACAGAGAACAATACATCAATCTGATGCTTTTTTATTAATTAAATTAACATGCTGTCCATCCTATTGTGTACATGTCCGTTAATTAACCTTCCAAAAATAAATGAATCTGAATTTTATCTTACAACATGATCGCAAAATCATATAAAAGATGCAATAGTAATCTAAACTCATCTCTTCTTCCAAAAATTCATGCCATGAATATGAGTAGATTAAAGACAAGAAAAACCGTAGAGATGTTTTGTAAAAAAAAGAATTGAAGAACAACAACTTCACTTACCCGAAAATGTTTTAATGAAGATTTTAATCCGAATAATAGATCGAAAAATTCAATTCGATGAGAACTTCAATCCAATTAATAAATCCGTTGAAGCACTAATTCCACACATCAACTTTTCGATATTTCCACGATTCAATCTAACACAATTTCGATCAATCAGTTTTCATTAATAATTTTCCTCCACATAACTGCTTTGAAAGCCCAAATTTTCAACTCAACATTCAAAGCACGTGCTCCCGTTTACTTCTATTCCTTTGGACGGTGTTTTCAAGACTAAGTTAAATCGGTGAAAAAAGTTGTTGAGACTGAAAAGCACTTAAGTGGAAGTGAAAGAAGAATGTTGAAGAGTGGCAATGAAAATCATCATCTTCGCATGTTTTATGTTTCTCTCTCGCTCGTGCGCTCACTTTTAAGCATAACATTTTTTGAGAGTGAATAGTTTGATAAACAATATTGCATAATGCAGTTAATAGAAAGAACGGAATTAATTTGATATCTGCTATGAAAGCATCTCGTAGCATGCGAATAATGACAACATGAAAAATTTATAATCTTTTCATGTTGACAGTATACTTTCAATATTTCGTCACGTAGAATATTTATTAACAACAGTTAAGCATAAGAAGAAGGAGAGATAAACAAAGAAATGATGAAGTCAAAGCAGACCAACTGACTTAGATTCATCAAAGCGAATAGAAAATTCCTTTGCGCTGCGCTGCTTTATGCTTTTTTTTAAACTTTTTACGCTGGGAACCGTTATCAGTCGTGGTTGAAGAATAATACAAAACAGAAACAAAATTTAGCTCATCTTTGTTCTTTTCTTTCTCATGCGACTTATGCGCTTGTAAAGCATCTCATTACGATCACATTTGTCACGGATTTAGTCGTGCGGCTTAACATGTCGCATTAATATTTATCATTATTACCGCATCATTGATAATAAAACAAAAGAAAATGAACCGTCGATTTCGTGAGAAAATTGCCATGCTTTAAAGAAAAAGAGAGAGAATTATTTTTTGTATTTATTTCCAGTGGAAATGTGAAAATGGGAAAACATATTTTCCTTGCACGCACACATCCAACTTCCAGTATATCGATCGAAAGAGCTTTTTCGTGGTTGAGAAAAAAAAGTCACTTTCGTTCCTCCCGTCGTGGAGCTGAAGAAAAGAAAATTTCTTGAAATCGCTGTTGAATTTAAGGAAATATTTTTAGTTTAATCGTTTCATTGCATTTAAGTGTCATTGTTAATTAATTCATACAACGGAGACGCTTATTATTATTCGTAAATGTCAAAATTTACGAATTTTATGAGTCAAGATTGCTTGTCAGAGGAAATTTTCACGAGTGAAAAACTTTTTCCATGGAAGTGAAGGAAAAATTTTCGTGTCGCTTTAAAAATTCATGAATGAAATGTGACCATCGTGTCGTGGTACGACTAAGGAAAAAGTTAAGAATCAAGTGAAAAATATTTGCGTGAATGTTCAATGTCGTTAAATTCGATTAAGTGGAGTTGGAAATAAGTTTGGTGCAAGAGTCATTGTCGATGTGTATAGAGTGAGTGGTGGAAAGAGTTGTAAGGTGGGGGTGGTGGTTGAATAAACGGTGCTTTCGACCCTACGAGAATGAGAGCATACGAGAGAAAATCTAATTTCCACGACCTGAACAATCTTCGATGAGAAATGTGCAAACGTTAAAGTTATTCGTTAGTTTTGATTAAAAAAATCACGAAACTGAAGATTGTGTAAGGTTACGTCGCGGATCAAGGAGTGAATATTTCATACCGAACAAACATAAATCATCTGAAAAAATAATAAGCGAAGGAGAGGTGAGACTCGTTAACAAGCTAAGCTTGGCATTGTGAATTGTGTGTGAGTTTGTGGGGGTGGTAGAACAAAAACTACAATACTTAGGCATTAAAGAAAAAAGACATAAGAAATAACATAAAATAGAAGAGAAAAGACAGAAAAATAAAACGTGAGGGAAATTACAAAAAAAGTTTCTGTGTTTCGTTTGTGTGCAGCAAACACAGCAAGATATGGAGCCGAAAGGAAGTCCAGCAGGCGTTTTTCCGCACAAAAATAAGCCATCATCGATCCATATCAGTCAGCAATCACAAGAATCTACTACGGCCGCTGTAACTACTAATTTAATAGCACCATTAACGCCCCGAATCGATATAAGTCGAGCATCGAGCTCATCATATCACGAAGACAGCTCGCCGGAAAATGTTTTTGATCAGGTGAGTTCTATTTCCCGAATCTTTTCAATTAGATTTCCAGACACATTTCAATTGAAAGGAGTGTTCAAATGTTATGTCATAGAAACTTTTCAGCAACTTTTTATGAGAAGGAAATTTATTGACATAACATGTGAACTTTTCCTAAAGCCTTTGTAACACAATTTCAAAAGACTTCTTGAATAAATTTATAGAAGGAGAAGAGAAAACCTTTTTCTGAAACTCCCAGATGCTTTAATTAAAATTCAGATTCAACATCCATAATTAGTGCGAATCATTCTCAAGTTAATTTCACCTTCTTGACATTTACAATTCATTGAATGCTAACATTATCTTACATTGGTAATAACTTTTCCTGAATTTTGTTGTTTTTTTTTCATCCATAAATCTTATTAAAGACCGACGTAAGAAAATCTTCTCTCTCTCTCTTTTCACTTTGATATCATTTAGAAACATAAATACGTGAATACATGCAGCATATATGCTTTTTATAACATTTAGTTAACATTTATTTTATCATTACTCTATTTCTAATCTGAATGAAAGGACGATTCTGAAACCATACGAGAATGGGTAAAGGAAAAAACTAACAGAAATAATAAAACAAATATTTCTAAAAATATATCTAAAATCAGAAATCATTATGCTAAACCTCATTTCACTCGTAACTAGAAAATTTTTCTTTCATTTCAATATCATTTTTATTTTCCTTTTTGGTTGGTTTATGAAGTCGAAAATGTCATGTAATTACTGTTTCTGTTTCTGTCTCGTGCACCTCATTGTATACCATAAGTAGCAGTGTGTACATACTATCTAGAAGACTCTGACATTTCTCCCTTGTCGGACATGCAATTCAAAATCCGATTCTTATCGAACCCAACAAGAGAAAAATGTACATATCCGCAATAAATCGATATTTATTAAAGTAATTTAGCTTCAACACCATTTTCAGACTTTTCTGTACTTTTCCATTCATATCTAAGCTGTTACCACTATTTTTTGCATAATATTCTGTTTTTATTCATTCGTATCTGCTTTTGTCCTTTTATTTTATTCTTTTTGCAAACATTTCGGTTCCGGGCGTCTTTCATAAATGATGGGTAGGTCAAAGTTGCAATTTTTGTTATCAGAATGTTTGATGTTACATTTATCTTAATTGCTTACAATTTCTATCTACTTCTTAACTACTTTTAAACACTCAAAGGACACGATAAAAAAGGAAAATCACATTTTAATTTTTGATTACAATCAGAGAGAAATGAGCTTGAAAGGCGTGATAAACCTTGCGTAATTACTTTGAATGTGTCTCACGAGGCAAAAATGATTCTCTTTTTTTAAATGTGCATACATTTATGTTTTGCTTAAGATTTTTTCTGTATAATTTTATGTCTACATATTTATGTTAGAATGAGCAAATGTAAATAGGTAAATAACCTTCAGAAATTATTTAAACAAAATAATTCAAAGTCGTTTTTAAACAGAATGAGTACGTGGGCAATTTTTATTCAATAAAAGAGACTTTTCTTACTTCAAAAGGTCTTTCAATTTATCAATTTTACTTTTTCTTTGGAAGCGTGAACCATTTCTAATCATAAAATATTTTTAAATTGAAAGAAAACTTTTTTGACTTTTCTTTCACGGTCAAACACTTAAAATCTTTCATTGATTATAATTTCTTTTTAGAAATCTGACCACGTTTATGAATGACGCTCTTACATTCTTTTCTTTTCCTTTCACATGGTCGTTGTTGTGTTTTTAGTATTTTCTTAATATTTACGGCTTCTTGGAACGGAAACAAAAGTTAACGATCCTTCTCATTTACTTACAAATTGCTTTTTTCTGTAGGTGGGAACTGGCACACTCCAGGAAGCCACAGGTTGTTTAGAACTTTTTCAAGAAGATGTTGACGAATTGCGAAGTTCAACTGAAGAACTTTACTTTATGGAGAAGGAGAAAGGTCAAACAGAGTGTGAAAAACCATCGTCTGCCGCTCAGGTATGTGCAACTCTCCACACTGATGTAGAGAATGTCATCATAACATTTTCCGACATGAACATTTTTAGGTATCTCGAGCTCCGATGATTTTCAAGTTCGACGATTCACAAGCTCTTCAGAATTTCAATCAATATAATCGTAAAGATTCAGGTAGCTCCGAAGTTGCAGCATTTTTAAATCCATCAGGTAGGACAAGTCGAATCTCAAGTGTCGGTAGTCAAGGATCGGCAGTAAGTCGTTTATCTGGTGCTTCAGGTGTTTCACGTTCACCATCACCTCATAAAATGCTTGTTGAAACATCATTTTGTGGTCCAAAGCCCATTGAACCTACATCAGATGCTAGTAGTATAGAACAATTAACTGCGGATATGTTAGAAAATGTTATTTTAGCTAGAAGAGGTGATCCAACGAGAGTCGTACTTGCCGAAGGTGTTGAAGTAAAGCAAGAAGTAAAACCGAAAACGACGAAAGAGAAGTTAGAAGAACCAATGACGCCGGCGGAAGCAGCACGAGCCGCAGCAAAAGAAGCTCGTCGAAAAGAAATTGAAGCTTTGAAGCAACGTTTAAATGCGATAAATGCAAAGCAATTAGAAAAAGCAAAAGGTATTAGCGTAACGAAAAAGGTTGTTGGCGTGACGCCAGAAGGTACCGAATATATTCGAATAAAACTTAAACCAGATCACTTGTATGAAGATAATGGAATCAGTCCAAATGAGAGAATCGTTGAAGAAAAAGATTTTAAAGAGACGGGCACGAAAAAGAAGAAAGACACGCTAAAAGACAATACCGTAAATCAAATCTCAACGATAAGTCCGACAACGCACGCAATCGACAATCGTTCGCCATCACCTGCATCAACTTCAGTGTCACGTAAAAGTTCATTTTGTTCATTCTTTAAGTCTAAAGACACAAGCAATGAGTCAACTTCCTCAAAACCGAGAAGCGCTTCGGCAGCTTCCGGAAAAGGAAGATTAAATGATAAATCACCTCTTCCATCGCCAAGTAAGAGTAGTAGTCTTAGTAGTAGAATAGCATTTTCATTATTCAAAACTAATCGCAATCCGTCTCCATCTCAATTAGAAACATCAAATGATGGAGCAACGTCTACTAAGCAACACCAATCGCGACAATCTAATACTAATATTCGCGACAAGCCTACACTAAAATATTATGACACGCCCGATGTTATTCATATTCCACTTCACACGCCACCTGAAGAAAAAGAATTTAGTGCATTAAAGAAGAAGAAGGAAGAAACGGAAACTTTGACTGAAGTACCACCGGTGGTTGTTGAAGTGAAAACTTCGATTCCGATTAGGCCAAAAATCGCACCCACTGCCCAAATTGAAAAGATGCAAAGTACAGACGAAATCGAGCTTCAAGAAATACCGACGAAAAATACGACAAACGAAGAAGGAGGTTCAAGTCTGTGGAGTGTTGAAGTTCAACGTCATAGTTCTCAAGAAAGTCAAGAGACTGTCATTTCTTCACAACAACAACAAAAGCCTGAATGTTCTTCAAAAAACGGGATGACTGAAAAGCCGGCCATTCCGGCTTTCATCGATACTATTAATGAAAATTCAAGCACGTCAAATAATCAACCACAGCCACAACAACAGCAACCAATGTCAGCTAAGGGACGTCATAAAAAGCATATTCTCTTTAGTACAAAGATAGGAAGTGGTAGTGAAGAACAGATTTTTAGCACTCAATTGAGCTTGTCGAAGACTGAGAGTCAATCAAGTCAATTGTCGGAGCAAGCTTCAGTGTTTGAGAGTCCAAAAAACGAAGAGTGCGGAACGAAGGTGCAGGAAGTTACCATAAATAATTTGAAACATCAATCATCGAGCGAGGTTGAAAAGGTAACAGCAACATCTGCGCGATCTCGTCGTTCCGATCAAAGTGACTCAGCTGAATCGCGACCCCAATCGGTGACAAGAAGACAAAAGGATTCTGGTGACTTTTCTAAGAAACGAGAATCATCAGATGAAGTTTTGAAGAAGAAACGTGAATCCCAAAGTTCAAATAGTAATCCATCGCCTATTTCTGTTTCTATTCCATCACAACATTCTCAAAATAGTTTGAAGCAGTTTGAGACTAAGACAACAAGTATTTTAGAGCATCAATCAAGTGGTTCGAAGATGGAAATTTCTTCAGAATCAGATCGTGAATCTGACATCGAAGGATGTGTTCATAAGCGAGTATCACGTGTGATGGAAGATCATGAAAGTGCTGGTTTAGTTCTTCAAGAGTCTTTCGATGATGAGCTACCTTATGTTCCAACAACATTACCTGAAGAAAGATCAAGTGGATTAAGAATCATCCCAACAAAAGACAGAACACAAAGTGAACTGATTACTATACCGGTCGACAGCCCACGCTCAACAACGCCCATCAATCCAGCGTCTCTCGACAACTACTGCGAACGAAAGCAAAGTGACGTTAGCGAATGTAATTTGGTAAGAGGTGAGAAGCTTCGTATAAGCTTGCCAAGACAAAAAGCTGAACAAGTTAAGGAGAAAGTTCAACAAAAAGTCATTACAAGACGCATCAGTAATTTATCGAATAAAAGTTGGACAGAATTTGCTGAACAACAGCAAAGTTCGTCATCGCCTGCAACAAAGAAAAGTGAAAAGAATCGAAAAATTTCAACATCAAGTCAAGATGACGATCCTTCACCACCTCAACCGCCACCACCAAAGTCACACTCAAAAAAATCTTTGACAAGTAAATGGATTGACTTTGAAAATATACCCGAGAAGCGTCAACCGCCGAAGAAGATTACGACAATTCCAACTAGTAAGGAACCGACAGTAATTGATAAGCAACATCAGAAACATCACACACATCATCGACAATATGTTTCACCTGAAGAATGTCAATGTGAATGTCATGAGGCGAGTGGAAAGAAAGATCCCGACAGTTGTAAACAATCACCAGCCGAATCAGGTAAAACGACAACTTCTGAAGACTCCCAACCGCTTCTAGATGATCAAGCAGAAAGGAATAGCTTGATGAGGTATTAAAGAACGATTCTCATTAAGCATCGAAACTCATCCAATCCCAAAAAAAATCTCGATTTTTAGCACCGATTCTTCAATGGAAGGAAGCTTGGAAAATGACGAAGCAAATTTTCATCTCCAACATCCAAATGGAAGTCAACAGAGTAAATCTACAAATAATAATCTAGATAAGCCATTTGGCATGGATTTATCTGTGGAATATGGTGGGCATAGTAATCGATCAAGTGTTGTATCGCAGGTGAGACATATAATTAAATATATGAAGAATAAGCTCATATTACGTGACGTAATTTATAATTAATGTTAACTGCTTTTCAGGATATCAAATCACCAGATGTAACGCTACACAAATAAATCACCAACCACCAATTCAGCATTAACTATGTCGCTTTCATTGATTGAATATTTTCAATTCTTATCGTATGAATCCCTGATATGAGCATAAGGAGACTTTATTTGTAATTAACGTCACATTCAATGTAACTATAAATATGCTGTGACGTCATATACATAAATAAATAGTCTCCGGTTATATAATTAAAGAGAGAAAATGTATTAACAATGCCCTTCACACCCCCACATGAAGAACCTTAGATAAGAAGACTTTGACAACCAAAAATGTGTACATTTTTCATGAATGTACTTTATGACTAAAGTTTATAGTTAATTAAACTTTAAGCTGAATTGAAGCAAAGAGTAGTTAAGAAATTTACCGAATAAAAGAAAATGTTGTAACTTAACTTAAAATATGAAAAGATTATCTACATCAATTCACTCTTTTTCTCCCTTAAATTTATTGAAGTTCTCATTCACATCATTTTAACTGTCATTATAAAAATGAGATGTATTTAAATTGTATCAATAATCAGACGATCAACATTAAGATTCATTCGGTATTTTCGAACTCAAAAAGCTTTTCTTTCATTTTAAATACATTAAAGAAAAATTTCGTATTTAGACAAATATTGAGCGACATTAACAACGCTTGAAAAAAATTTTCTCAAAGCATTTTCAATCTCTCAAGAAGTTATCTGCATAAAAAAGATAAATTAATAAATCTTCTAACTAGAGACATTTTTAACATAAGATATAATGAAAATTTTATTTTTCATAAATGTTGCAGAAACTTACTTGAGAATTCATTGAATAGAAAGATTAATCACGTTATTAATTGATTAAAATAAAACAAAAACCTCTCAAAAAGCATAAGAAGCATAAAATTGATGCTCTGCTATAGTTAAAAGTATGAAAAACAAAGTTGTGATGATACCATTTAGTTAACCGAGTTTCTTCTAACATTTCTCACTTAGGAAACTTTTTTTATTCCTTTATTTATTCTCAAACTAAATTATGTTGACACGTCGTAAAATATTTTCTTGCGTTTTGAAAATATTTCATTCGAATGTCATTGTTAATTTCTTTTATCCAACTAATGCTTGCCTTACTGTTTATAGCCAAAAAACACAAAGATATGATTCGGGCACAGTTCGCTTAGTGCGTCACATTAATGCAAAAAGTCGCTTGAAAATCTTTTGATGAATGCCAAACATGATTTAAAGCTATCAATGTGTCAAAACAAAAATATCATAAAAACTAAAGCAGTGACGTTGCTATTAATCGAAGGAAAAGCCCTTAAAGTAGTATTTGATGATGATTATTAACAAGAAAAAAGAATGAAATTAAGAAAAAAATCTATTTAAATTGTGAAGAAAAAGAAGTGAAAGGAATCAGAAATGAAGCAACATTTAAAATAATCTTTCAAGAGGAAATGAAGAAAAAATAAGAATGAAACTCCCGTTTACAATAAAGCAATATTACTTAATTGGCATGAGTTAAAGTAACAAAGAAAAAAATGTTTTTCGATAGCGTTGATAAAAGGCAATTTAGTGCATTTTATTAGTTACTTGTGTATCAATCTATGTACCGCTTTCTCTCTCAAACCTTCATAAATACTTTTCCTGTAACAGCATCTTGATTCCATTATCACTACACTACACTTCAACAATTCTCATCTTACACATACATGATGAACTTGAAATCGTTTAACAACTTATATAAAGAAAACATACTAAAATTTAAAAAGAAAAATTCGCTCTTTTATTATTGATGAAACATCCAAGTTTAAATCTCGTTAAGGATTAACAAATATGATGAAAGAAAATGAATAAAAAATGTTAAATTGCTCTCAAAAAAAGGCGTTATGTCAATTGAATTAAATCAGTCATTAAATCTTGCATTACAGCTTCGTTCACATTAATTTTGAATTTCTTTGTCGCTTTGATAATCTTTGAAATTTGAGTTTCAACTTCTACATTTTCAGACAAAAGTTTTTCTTTTAATTTTCTCAAACAGATTTTCTTGATGATATAAGTTTCACTGAAAATGTTCACTTCGTTCTTGTCAAAAACTCGATATTCTGCAATGTTGTCGTCTAAACTGTTGTCTCCACTCAACCCATCAATGGCTATTAATAAAATCAGAGCCAAAATTTCATGACGATCAAAGTTCTGCAATAATTCACTTAAATGTTCAATGAAAAGCTCTTGAGCATAGGAAGGGATGACATGTCTCGATGATTGAGATTCAATCATTTTCATCACAATTTTCATATTTCTTGTTCGAATCTCGCTTTCATCATCCATTAAAAGCAATAAAAGACTTTGTGAAAACTGTAAAAGAGTGTCAAGTGAATCAATTTCCGACAAGTTCTCCGCAAGCGTCTCGACGAAATTTGATGCCGACCATCTAAGTGAAAAAGAAGAAAATAAATAAAAGTAGAGCAAGGAAACAAAATTTCTTTATACTTACTTTACAAACATCGATGAGTCAGTGGAAATCTCAACAAGAAATGAAAAATCGATGAACGGAAGAAATTTCAGATTTTTTATCAAAACAGAATTCGCTAAATTCAGTGACGATTTCTTCAAATGTTCTGGTAAAGTTCTCGCACTTTTGATAAGATCTTGAACTGCTTCCAAGTGTTGATAATCATCTTGATATTCAAATCTCAAACTAATCAAATCAAAAACTTTTTTCCGATTAAATTCCAGAAAAGCAGAAAGATTTGTAATGTTCAAGAACTTTTTTCTCAAATCTTGAATCTTTTCATCTCCAAGCTTTTGAAGAACACGAATTTCTGTCTCGTTTATTTCATATTCTTCTTTCATGCTCGTCGCATAATTGAAATCTGTCAGCATAAGCAAGAGATTTAAAAACGAATCCAAATAAGAATTTTCTTTATGTAAATCTTTAACAACAATCTCGAGATCATGAAATGACTCAGTGAAGAAATATTTCATTAACTTTAATAGAAATACTTTCTTTGGTATGACTGGAAGTCCAATAATTCCTGAAGGTTTAAAGTTGCTGATAAATTTATCAGTAAACTCAGAAATTTCAATATCATCCGATTGAAGTTTTAATAAAATTTCTATGACGATGTCTAAGAATGTTCCGTAGCAAACAATCTTCTCACGATATCGATGAGAAAGTGAACAAATATCTTTTAAAATTTTTATTTTATTTGACTTTGAACTCAGCGATGCTTCTGGAAGTCTCTTTGTCAAGTAAAAAATTTGTAAAAGAATTCCATGTTCGATATTTGATGGAATTTTCTCATTCTCATAAAGGATTTCTACTGACTGCGTTATTCTTGAAACAATCAAATCAGGTGGTGAAACGTTAGCAATAAATTTGGCACAAAGTACTCGTGTCTGCATTTCAATACAACTTGAACATAAAGTAACGACTGGAATGAATCCAGTTAGCTTTAAATTGGATTCACTTCCTTCGAGACTTGATGAATAAAGTCGAATTAATAGCAACATTAATGGATGTAATTTAACATTCATTCCAACACGTTGAACACATTTGGAAGCTTCGATTAGTTGTTCCATGAAGAAATCATAAAGTTCGGGATATCTTAAGAAGAAAATTCTTCCAGTCATTTTATTTCTTATGTTCAGTTCTTCACTGTCTCTCGTCCTTTGAACACCGAAAATTCTCACCATAACCGCAGAAAATAGAAGAGTTGATGAATTTCTTTCCACCCACGACTCTGCGCCATATCCTAAGATTGAACATTTAACTCCATCAGCGATGTATTCGCCAATCGCTTCATTTAAGTCACTACATCGAAACAATGCACGCAGAATATTCAACGAATGAGTTCTCGTCTCTAAATGTTCACCATTACGACAAAAGTCGAATAAATTTTTCATCACAAAATGAAAGTTTTTATTTGTTGATACTTTAAGTTCGGATGTTATGAGCGCTTGAATCATGAAAGGTAAACCAGCACTTCGTCTTGTCGCACACAAATTTTTCATCGATAAAAGTTCGTTATTTTCTTTATCGTGACCGGAAATTGATTTCATCATTTGATGAAGCATCACTGATGGAAGTCTGTGAAGTTCCGGTTCTTTGCAAGTCCACAATCTCATACAAAGTTGGGAAAATCCAAAGAAGCATTGCTCGAAAGCTCCACGATGTTTCGTCTTGGATAAAAGCTCGAGAAAGTGATCACCAATTGTCAGAAATTGTTCCACGTCTAACAATCCAACATTGTTTGTCATCAATGGAACTCTCAAGCAAATATCACCAAGAAGAAGAGAAACTTCCTTAATCGTTCGCCATGAACACAAAAGAATGATTTGTGGTGTTGTATTCGAAATAATTTCGCTCCATTTCTTCTTTATATTTTCATCTTCAACATCTTCAACTTCATCTTTCGGTAAAATTCCTTCTGGTGATGAATTATTCACAACTGGTGCGACAACTAAAGTCAATCGTTTAGTCAGAACCAAAAGTCGTTTGAAATAACCTCGCCAAAGATTACACAATCCCATTTCATTTAAATCTAATTTTGACAACAAATGACGAATGCAAAGAACGACACCGTAAAGTGGATTTGTGCTTGAAGCAACGATCAAAGATTTTTCACCAACTTCTAAGCCTTCATTTATAATGTTTTCAAGCCATGACAGCATGACAAAAGCTTCAGGAAAAATCTCGGAGCTATTAAATGATGGAAAAAGTTCAAAGTTGAAGATGAATTTCGTTGAAAATTCGACCAAATATGAAGCAGTTAAACTGTCTGGAGGCTTTATTGACACTACAAGCGACTTCAATTCATTCAAGTTCATTGAAATGAGTTCTCGAGTGACTTCTTTAGGAATAAAATTGACGATTTCAATCATGATTGCTTTATTAGCTTCATAACTATCTTTTGAGACATTCATCAAAACATCAAACTTCTCACGATTCCAAATGTCTGATAACTTATCTGGAAAATGTTCAGCGAAAGATTCCATAACATAAAAGAGAATTCTCAGACTTAAAGTTCGTCTCGTAAAATTTGCACCTTCGAATAAATTATCCAAACAAAATTCTTGAAGGCTCAACAAGAACTTTTGATAGTTAATCAACATTTCCTTCATTTTCTTTCGAATGAAAACCTTCAAAGCACAATTTATCCTCACGAAAATGTTTTTAATCAAGCCTTGAATGATTTGGCGTGTTGATGGACTTTGAACATTTATGTTGTGTAAAAGAAAGAATGAAATGCATTCAAATTCTTGTTCAGTGAAGATTTCTGTGACTTTTCTCGTTTCAATGATTAATGATAATGCTGAAGTTCTTACACTGTCATCAGCATTAAACATTGCTGCTTTTATTTCATCAAAACTTATAATTCCTTTCCATTTCTCAATTGTTGTTATTTTATTTTCGTAAATTCCTGTTTTCTTGCCAACTGCTAAACATTGGAAACGAAATCCATCGTCCAAGTCATCGAATGACATTATTTCTTTAAGAATTTCTTCATTTCTACTCACAAGTTTAAGTAAAAGTTTCTCAAGTACGGCATAAAGTTCACCATCTGTTTCTGTAATCTTCATGAAGTCAACAGCTTTTCTTATCAATTTTTCAGCTTTTTTATGTTCTGCATTTCGTACCAACGATTCAAAACAGTTAACAATATTATGATTAGTTTCTGTATTGTCACTGATGGCTTTAAGAAGCTCATCATCAAATTCTGAATTTCTCATCTTCTTAAAAATAACTTCTGATGTTAATATCGGTGAAAGTGTTTGAATGACGATGCTTTTCAAGCTAATTGTTTGAATTTGACTGATTTCATCGAAAATTTTATCGATTAAGAAACTTGAGCTTGAAGATTTTCTGCCAATTTCCGCGATATTCTTTAAAATGTCTTTGGACATGTGACGAACACTATCCATGTGATGTTCTAAATTCAGGAAAGATACTGAAAGTGCTGTTAATGTAATTGTTTTTAATGCTGGTTCTGAATAATCAATTGCTTTCAATGATAGAAGTTTCTTTGTCACTTGAGTAAATGATCGGCAAATTGAAAGCATTGAAGAAGGATCGATTGATGATTTGAGAAAAATATTTTCTAAAATCTTAGAAATCTCAGCGAGAAAATTTAAATAATTGCTTAAGTTTTCTGGATTTAATGTGTTAACAACACCAAAGATAAGACAAAGTCTTTTAGCATCACTGTTGTTGCTATCTTTCAACCAGTCAATATATTTTGTATCCCCTGTAACTTTTGAATGTAGCACTATGAGCAATGCACAGTTGTTCTTGGTATCCATTGGAATGTCAACATTTTCTAGAAGTTCGTTGCTTTTAATTACAATTTCCTTTAGATTTTCTTTCAGCAGCTCCGACTCTGATTCTATTGCAGTTATTTTCACACAAAATATTATTAATTGAAGAGAACTGTGAAGTTGCTGTGATATTTCATTCTTTTGTGCAGGTGAAAGTCCAGTTTGAAGTTGTTGCTCATAAATATGAATTAAATTCTTTATAAACGGAATGATTTCATTTAAAGATTGTTTCATTGCACAAATGGCAGGATTAAAATTTTGTGATGCTTCATTGAGACAACTGATGAACTGAAAGCTTTCTTCGGTTGATGAAGGATTTAACTGTGAAACTCGTTGAATTATTTCTTGTTTGAAAGAGAAAATCAACAAATTCTGTTCTGATGACTGATTGAAGCAACTACAAAAAGAAATTTTTCAAATTGTTTTATTTATTAATAACAAAGACATGAATTAAACATACCTTTGAATTGTGCTTTTAGCTGGATGTTTAACTTTCTCGTCAAAATAAAACTTTACGAGTTTTGCAGCAATTTTTCCACTTTCCGGATTCTCAGGCGAAATTAATTTCACAAATTTTCTAAACTCTTTCAGCTGAAATTCTGTAACAGTTGATTCATTGATAGCTTTCAGATTCATTTTGTATTCTGTAATTAGATTAATAAAGCCGTGTAAATTACACAATTTAAATTTCTTTTAACCTTCGTTCCAAAAGTCTTCAATTTCCAATGTAAATAAATCCTTAGAAGCTTTTGAAGTTTCACGGTCATCTGTCTTTACATTTATTCGTAAAGATAAAACGTTCATAGTTGAGCACTTTTAAATTTGTCACTTTACTTATAAAAATTATTTTCGTTGTCAGAATTTTTTTAATTTCTGTAAACAACCGAACACATGTTTACACTCTCAAAACTCTCTGAAATTTAATCTCATTTACTGAACACACTTCCAACTCTCTCAAAAATTGAATTTAGATTTACTGAACACACCAACTTTGTTTACATTTTGTTTCTATTTTAAATGGAAATTCTTAAGGAATTCTCTATCAAACTATACAATGTTTTAATTGAAAGTTTCAACAAGAAAACCACTAATTATGAGGAAAATTCCTTGAAGGTCGAGAATGTTAACGAATTCCCTTTAGAATGTTGTTTTTGTGCAAAACTATATTTCAAATCACATAATTGCGGGAATCAAAGAAAACATTTGTGTAATCATGAAAGTTGCGGAAAAGCCTTTAAAAATATATCTCAATTAAGAAAACATGAGGTATTTAAAAGAGAATAAAAATTATATATAAATAATTGTTAATGTTAATTTTAATGTTATTTCTTTTTAGCGGATTCATCTAAATATCAGAAATTTCAAATGCAGTTTTTGTAGTAAGGATTTTGTCCACCAGACAAGCCTTAAAAATCATTTATTAACACATACTAAAGTTAAAAACTTTATCTGTAATATCTGTGGACTAACATTCTCTACAAAAGGAAATTTAAATCAACATAAAGCAAAACATGATGAATTAAATGGCAAACGATTTGCTTGTGACATTTGTGATAAAAAATTTCTCCGCCTCGGTAATATGAAAGAACATTTAGCAACACACACCAGAGAAAAGAATTTTAAATGTGATGAATGTCATAAAAGGTTTACAAATTCATCATCACTTTCTAAACACAAAAAACTTCACAAAGGATTGAAACCATTTTGCTGTCCGATTTCATCGTGTGGTAAAAATTTTGCTCAACAAAGTCATTTAAAAAAGCACATCCGAAGTCATTCAAATACAAATATTTGTACAATATGCAATAAAAAATTTCGACGCATAGATACGCTTCAAAATCATATGAAATCTCATGCCGAAATCAATCCGAAACCAGTTATTCTTAGTCATGAAATTATCATAAAGTCAAATGTAGAATTAAATAATTTTATTAAGAAATAAATTTTAATACATTGTTGTATGACTAAAACGGTAATTGCACTAAACATGAATACATAAACACGTCAATCAAAATTTAAATATTTCCAATCCACACTTTTCAACAGCTTCAAAATCAATATTGTGGAAAAAGCGATGTTTAATTAAATCATCGTAATTTAATCTTTTCTCTCCTTTTTCAATTATCAAGCTATGTAAAAGATCTTTGACATCGTCTGAAATTACATCAGGATCTGAATATTGAATCTCATTAAAACGCGAGATTCCTTTTGGATGATTTAAATAGAAACGTTCTCTCGTCATAAGTTCATAAATTATAACGCCGACACTATACCAATCAGAAATTTGTGTGATGGGGAAGTCAAATGCAACATAAAGACATCTTATGGCTTTTGGATTTAAACGACAGAGATCATGATAGTCACTTCGGGGAGCTTGACAAAAGTAAGTCAAAGTGACATGTCCTTGAGGCCCAAGCAGTAAATTATCAAGGTTTAAATCACCACAAATGATGCCAGCCTTATGGAGATTATGAACAGCTACAATAATTTCACTTATCCACTGTCTAAGAACATGTTCTGGTAATTGAACAATTTCTTTTCTTACTTCAACTGGTTCAATTTTTTTCGAAGTCTCTTCAATGACTTTCTCGTTAATTTCCATATTTTCTTGTTTTTCAACAACCAATTCCGATAATTTTTCATTTGAAGAACTTTTTTGTGTCTTTTCTTTGGCTAAGATTTGTGATTTTTCTAATGTTTTAGATACTGATTCTAACAGTTTTTGACTACAACTCATGAGATCATTTATATCCATTTCAGAGGATAAAGTATCAAAAGATGGAATGGCAGGAGTTTCATTATTATATAAATCAATGGCTTCTAAGAGATTATCTTCTGTCACTTCTTCCGCTTCTACATCAATAATTTCTTCAGATATTTCAATGACATCTTGAGATTGTTCAAATGGATTTTCAGGTTCTTGTAAAGCAACAACAGGAGGTTCAACAAAAATTTCTTCAATATTGATCGATTTATTATCGTCATTGCTTCTATAACTATTTATGTAATCCCACAGAAGACCACCGGACAGAAGTGGGAGAAGAAGGAAAACAGAATTCTCAGTTCGATAATAACTAATAAGTTTGATCATGAAAGGAATCGATTGCGGTAATAAAATAGAGAAGCTTGAATCTTTGTAAACGTTTTTTAGGACGTAAAATTTTTTATCAGTGCAGTCTTGAACTTTCATTATAAAGTTGTTGATACCAACGACTTTAAAACGAGATAAATTGTTCATTGGTCGTTCTAATGCTAAAACACTAGGTGCAGTATCTTCAGTCACTGAATCTTCAATGACAAATATTTCATCTTGAAGTTGAGCTATATGATTTTCGTAAAGTGATTCAGCTCTTTCTAAATATTTTCCAGCTTTTGTTTTTGCAATTCGTTTTCGTCTTTCATTTGTATCATTCTTTGCTCCAGTTAATAATTTGTCAATTCCAATCTTATAGAGTTCAAAAGCTGGTTTATATCTTAAATTGGCTTCTTCTTGAACGGCTTGACTGAAGCACATTGCGGCATCATAAAGATAATCAATAGCAGTGCTTAAAAGTTCGAATGTGTTATCTTCATCAGTCACTTCTTGTGACTCTGGTGGGTCTTCCAATTCAATAGAATTATTTTGTGATAAAATATCACATGATGAAGTGTCCTCAATAGATGAATTTAGTGTATCATCATCAATATCTTTTGTTATGTCGTAAATGTCATCTGTTGGTGATCCACTACCGTCTTCGAAAAACTTTACAAAACATTGTGATCGATAAATCACTGGATTTTCTGCACAATAATATAGAAACTCGAGAATGGTCTGTTTACGTTGTTCGACAATTGATGGATCGAATCTTAAGTATTATTTAAAATAAAAAGATGTCATTAAAAATTTACATATTGTACTTTAATAACTTACCGTTTGAAAAAAGTGCTATCAGATTTGAAGAAAGTTTTCAAATTATAACTTTTATATGTTCTCGAAAGGTCTCCTTCTAGCTTTTTAAAGTCACTGTATCTTTTCCAGACACTAATTTTAGCTAAAGATCCAAATAAATGGCTATTTTTTGGAAAAGATATCAAAGTTATTTTATATGATGTATATTTTTGAAGCCTTCGTGTCTCGGGTATTGTGAAGTTATGTATCAGTCCACCGAGTAAGGCCATTTTTGGCTATATAGCCATTAATATTTTTTTTAAGTGGAAGAAAAAAATAAACAGACTCGAAGCGCGTTTTACTGAATAGTTTCCAATTCTTTTTCAACTTTTAGAAAACAAAAAGTGATCAAAGTAGGTAGGTAGTCGGGGAAAACTGCATAAAACAATTAGAATTCGAGCTAAAGAGACCTAACCAAATTATTTCTAAGATAATTTAAATAAAATAAGATTAATAAAGATTTATCATTTTTATTACTAATAGTATAAGCTCTCAGTGAAGTGCTAAGTTAAATAGACTGATAGAATCAAAAAATAAAACAATAACAAAACAATTTCAAGATAAGTCTTGAAAATTGCAATTTTTATCAAACGAAAGCGTTATCAGTAGAATGCTTTGGCTGTTTCTTGGAACAAATTAGTACACTCGTTTTTTAATCTTTGCTTGAACATTTAATTTGAAAAAGTAAATGAATCATGTCTGAAGTAGAGGTAAGAATTGAAAAGTAAAATTGTAACTTGAGAGATTTTATAAAACCACGTCATTTGTAAGATTTTAATTCTTCTTCTTATTCAACAAATGTGAAGAGAAGCCTAAGACAAAACATACATATGAACGTCACAAAAATAAACAAACACTTTAATATAAAGAACAAGTCTAAAACTAATAAATTTTTCTTCTTTTCCTTTTCATTATAATGCAGAATTTTGAATTTGAAGATCGTCCATATCAACAAGCAATCATTGAAGTTGGTATTAAACGTAATTCAATTGTATATCTTCCAACAGGAGCTGGCAAAAGTCACATTGCCATTCAAATTATAAAACATTTTTCTGATGAATTGGAAAAGTAAGTTCATTTCGCCCCGATAATAAATTTTATCGTTTATTGATTTTTAACTACATATTTTTCCCAGAACATATTCCGACGGCGGCAAGCGTTCAGTTTTTCTTGTTAACACAAATTGCCTTGCAAAGCAACAAGCTGAAAAAATAAGCAATGAATTGTCTTTTAATGTTGCTTTATTAACTGGCGAACAAAACGTTGATTATTGGGATCATTTGCAATGGAAGAAAACTCTTGATGAAAATGAAATTCTCGTGTCGACTGCACAAGTAATTTTAGATGCCATAAAACAATCTTTCATTAAAAAGGAACAAATAAATGTGATCATCTTTGACGAGTGTCATCATGGTCGCAAAGATCATCCGTATCATGAAATTATGAAGCAATTCGATGAGAAACAATTTAATGTTCGAATCATTGGATTGAGTGGAATGTTGATTGGCAATAATAATAAATTAACGCCAGTCATGGTCAAGGATGAGTTGGAAAAATTAGAAGCAACTTTTATCAGCACAATAATCACCGTCAATAATCTTGATGATTATAAAAATGTTTTACTTTGCTCAACAAAAGCAAAAGAAGGTTACGTTTTGTTCAATAATCAAGACGTATGTCCACTTGTGTCAAAGATAATGAGCATGATAGAAGAAAAAATTAAATATTTGAAAAATGTCAAATTTGAAAATACAATTTCGATAGATCCAAAAACTTTAAATCCATCAATTCCGAAGAAAGTTAAAAGTTTAATAGCATTCTTCAATGATTTTGAATATCAATCAAATGTTTTGGGAGTATACGGTGGATATCTAAGTCTTCTCAGTACGCTCATTCAACTTGAACTGATTAAACGAAATTGTAACACACAAAAAAAACGACAAGTTGTTAAAGCTTGCATTACAATCACTGAAATGTTGATCAACAAGATGAAATTAGATTTGAAGTTGGATGAGAAAGATGGCAACAAAATTTTTGAACATTCTTCTATCAAATTCAAGCAATTATTGAAATTATTAAAATCTCATTTCAATGATGAAAATCGTTCAGATGATCTTCAGTGTATTGTATTTGTTGAACGACGTTCAACAGCCAAAATTATTTATCACATGCTGAAAGCTTATGCTTTAGAAGATCCTGACTTTCCAATCATTCCTGACTTTATGGTGGGAATCAATGCGGGACTTCCAGAGTCGATTGAAAATATTTTAAATAACAACTACAACACTTTGACTTTGGACAAGTTTCAACGAAAAGAAACAAATTGCATTGTGTCATCGAGTGTCTTGGAAGAAGGCATTGATCTTCAAATGTGCAATCTTGTGATATGCTTCGATACACCAAAAACTTATCGAAGTTATGTTCAGTCACGAGGAAGAGCTCGCGATAGAGAAAACAGTGTGTTTGCTGTTTTCAATGAACAAGGAAATCTTGAACGTTTCAGGAAGAAAGTTGCTAATTGGCAGGAAGTTGACATTGAAATCAAACAGCGATTGTTGATGAAGACATTGGATCGTTTACCACCGAGTGAAGAGTACATTCAAAATGAAAGAGAAGAAATTTGGCCGCCTTTTAAAACTCCAATTTCGGGAAGTGTTTTGAATAATGTCAACAGTGTCAGGTGAGAATTGACAATGTTTTCATAGTAATTTTAATTGTAAAATCATTTATTAACAGTTTATTGGAACGTTATGCTTCATCACTGCCATCCGACATTTTCACAAATATCAAATTAATTTGGCGTCGAATAAACTGCGAGGATAAAACTTACATTGCTTGTGTCAGTTTGCCAACGCATTCAACAATTCAGGATGAAATATTCAGCGATCCAAAATCAAACGTAAAGCTAGCTAAGCAACACGCCGCATTTAAAGCTTGCAAGTCATTGTATGAGCATGGAGAATTGAATGATAATTTGACTCCTATTGATAAAAGTGTGAAGGTCGAGCAATATAATGAAGAATATTTCGCTCATTGGAATGATTATTCTGAAGACAAGAAATCTGCAGGAACGCGCAACCATCGTCGTTATCATAAAATCAAAACACCAAATGCATTGAATGATTGTGCTCCACAAGCTGGTGACATTTCCTACCTTTATTGCATTCATGTTCGTCCAAAATTCAATCCATTATCTAATGCCATTGAATGCTTTAAACATCTTCTTGGAAATCAAAAGGAATTTGGAATTTTAACATCAAAACGAATTCCACGAGTTTGTATCATGCGTTTGTTTCAAAGCTATGGTGAAGTTGAAGTTGAAATCAGCAGTTTGCCAATCACAGTTACAATTAAAAATGAAGATGAATTAAATATTTTACGTAACTTTCATGTTGCAATCTTCAGAGATGTGTTAAAGACGTGGTCAGATTACTTTGTACTTGATCGTTCTTCTTACATTTTCGTGCCTTTAATAGAAGATTGTTCGATTGATTTTGATTTGGCAAGAATGTTCCAAAAAGTTGAGAAACCAAGAAGTTTAACTTATGATGAGATAAAATCAACGAAATTTGACCGTGACGATTATCATCTTCGTGTCATTAATCCAGTTTATCGTGACAATTCTATCATACCTCGAAACTACGTCGTCATTGTCGTTGATGAGAGTTTAACACCTTTGTCACCATTTCCTTGCGATAACAACGAGATAAAGAAATATTTAAACTACAAAGATTACGTTTATAAGAATTTTGAAAGAACAGTCGTCAATGTTGATCATCCAATGTTGGAAGTGAAAGGAATCAGCAATGAATTGAATCTCTTCTTTCCAGGTGCTGGCATGAGTGGACAAAAGAAAAGAAAATATGAAAAAGCTCAATCGAAGGAACATTACATTCCCGAACTTTGTCATAATTACAAATTTCCAGCCGATTATTGGTTGAAAGCAACTTTACTTCCTTCGATTTCGCATCGATTGCAAATGCTTTTGTTAGCTGAAGAGTTGCGTAAATGGTTAATTTCTGAAGGCATTGATAGTGGACATGGCGATCAAAATTATAAAATGGATGTTGATTATGATAATTATGACGAACGTGAAAGAATGTTAGCTGAAGCTAATCAACTGGAAGAAATATTGAACGGGTTACCGGGCGAATTGAGACTCGCACTTTCAAAAAGAAAATCGTCTAAGGATAGACCAACAAATGAAGCTTGTCATACAAAGCCTTTGTTACTTTGGGATCCATCATGTCTTCCCATTGATATTGATCGTAATTGGTTGACAGTGACTCAAGCCGACATCGACTATTATTGCAACTTTTTATGTTCAAATCAAAATCAAATCTCTCCCGAAGCTATGAATAAACTTAAGCAGTTAAATTCAGCTGCTCGTAACTTTGACAACGCTTTGATGGATTCTGGCGATCGAGAAAGCATCAAAATTATTTATTTAGATGGAGAGTCGTCAAGTGTTCAACAAAAGGATTTGATTAAAGTTCTTACAACATCAAATGCTGGTGAGTAATTTGAGAAGATTTCTTTGCATTTCAATTAAATTTTCTATTTTAATATCCACAGGGGACGTCTTTGATATGGAACGTTATGAGGTTCTTGGCGACGGGTTCTTAAAATTCATAACTTCGCTGTATCTCTACAAGAAACATGACAATTTGCATGAAGGTTACTTGACATCTTTGAAAGGAAGAATTGTCAGCAATCGAAACTTGTTTTACATTGGAAATAACTTTGGACTATCTCAAATGATTAAATCATCGATGTTTAAAGCAAGAGAAGTACTTCCACCTTCGATTATTCTCCCTGAAGATGTTCAAAGCGTTATTGAGATGGATAAAAATCTGTTAATAAAATTGGTGAATATTCCTGAGTTGAGTAACGATGAAGTGATTTCTGGTAAGATAAAATCAGAGAATCTAAATTTATTCACTGAACAAACGGCCAATAACTATTCAATGTATCAAGAAAATGGTGACAACGATGATGACGACTGTCATATTGAGAAAAGTATGTTGACTTACATCAAACAGCATTATGTTGGCGATAAGATTGTAGCTGACGCTGTAGAAGCGTTGCTTGGAATTGTTGTACATTCCTTGGGTTTCAAAGCTGGATTGAAATTATGCCAGACGTTGGGCATTCTACCACAAAAAGAGAATCTCACGAACCTTTTGACTGAGATTATTCCACCAAGACCTTTGAACAAAAATGTTGTGCCCGAACAGATGAAAGTTCACAATCGGAAGAAGTTGGAAGAAATTATTGGATATCAATTTAAGAATCCTGGATATCTTGTGCAAGCTTTGACACATCCGTCCTATCCGATCAAAGAAATGGGAACTTATCAACAGCTTGAATTCCTCGGTGATGCTGTTCTTGATTGCTTGATTAGTTCCTACATTTTCGAACAATGTCCAGACATGGATCCTGGAAAGTTTACCGATTTTCGTTCAGCTTTGGTAAACAATGTAACTCTTGCTTGTATCGTTGTTCGAAATGAACTTCACAAGTTTATGCTCAAGGATAATACGCTTTTGTCTGAAGCTATCCAAAAGTTTGTCTCTTATCAAGTCAGTAAGCAACATCAAGTCGTCTTGGACCAAATAATTCTGTTGGAAACTGAAGATGACGCATCGACAGCTGAATCTGTTGACGTTCCTAAAGTCATTGGTGATATTTTTGAATCGATTGTCGGTGCTATTTTCTTAGATAGCGGCCTTAATCTTGAAACAACATGGAATGTCATTTACAGAATGATGAAGAAAGAACTTCACGAATTTCAAGTCAACGTTCCAAAACAAATCGTTCGACAGTTGTTTGAATTTGAAAAAGGAAAAGCTGAACCGAAATTCTATCAAGCTTTTGAAGCTGATGAAGAAACGATTGCTGTGCCCGTGGAAGTTTTGTGTCGAGGAAAGAAACAATATTTTGTTGGATTGGGAAAGAATCAAGTGGTCGCTAAGAAATGTGCTGCCAAACTAGCTTTGAGAGCTTTAATGGACACAACGCAACATTGACTTACTCACTGATTTAATATTGAAAGAAAATTATCTGACAATTACTCGATGATGCAAACTTTTTGGATGAGAAAGGAAATTATGTCAACTTTAAGAAAATGAAGTCTGTGAAATTTGTGATTATTTGGATACTTCTAAATTTATTGTAATTAGGGCAGATACTTGAAATAATTAAACATTCTCACAAACTTTAATTTCATTTTTAGATTTAATTGAAAAATGCATGAGAATTTAAAAATTCCTTTTTGATTTGTAGATAATTTAAGAATTTTTCAAAATAAAATTTTGAAGAGCATTTGAACTTTAATTTTAATATTTTTAACATTTCAGAAAGCATTTTAGCAATGAATATATGTGATTGATGGTCTGTTATCAACAAGAAAGTGATCATCTCTGAATATGTAAAAATATTTGCATTTCTTTATTGATTAATATGAAAATATTCAGGTCAATGATTTGATTGCATTTCCTTCTCTGATTTGAGTATTTAATGCGATAATTCTGCAAATCTTCTTCAGTTGTTTGTGAAACTTTAACTCGAAATGAATAATTAGAGAAGATAATTAAGGAAAATGTCTCGTGCTTTAATTAGTTTTGCAGTTTTTAATATTTTTCTTGTGATATCCAATGCAAATCGGGAAATTGAAGGAATAATTTGTAGCTTTGGAACGCATCATGTCGAACAATATGTGGGTGTGAATCTTCCTGCATATTTATACGGATGCAAGGCTATTGAGTTTCTGGGATCAGTTAAAGAAGAAGATCAATTTCATGACCTTCAGAGTAGCAGAACTGCAAATGAAACCGATAAAGAGATAAAATTCTTCGGCATTTCAAAGTGAGAACAAAAAAAATTGTCATTAAAGAAAATTATTTTTAATTTCTTTTCCACCAGACGAACTTTTCAACTCCCGGAAAATTTGGGATTTGTTTTAAAAGATCTCGAAGTTTACGAAGCGAAAAACAAAAGAATAAAATTTTTGAAGTCATCAAACTTTCTCAACCTTAACTTACTTCGAGCATTGACTTTGTCTGGCAATGACATCGAAGAGCTTCCCGAGAATATTTTCGATAATTTGGAGGTGTTGGAAGTTATAAATTTAAAAGAGAATAAGATAAGTTTCATATCGTCAGACATTTTCAACCATTTGGCAACTTTAAAAGTTGTAAATTTTGTACAAAATCTTTGTGTAGATGAAGAAATTTTAAATGAATTTAATATCAGAGTGAATGAATTAAATAATGAGAAATGCAATGTTAAAAATTCGATTGATGGGAAAATTGAAATTATTGGACAACAGGACAAATTAACTGCGAATTTAGAAATTCCATTTGGTGCACAAGTTTATCGATCATTCGAATTCATATGCAGTGGAAGTGTCGTCACTGATGTAAGATTATTTCAATTAGATATTTCAATTATTTTTAATCACAATACCATTTACAGAGATTCATTCTTACATCTGCAAACTGTTTCGATATTCGAGAACGTCTTGAAGAATATTTTGTGCTTTTAGGCAATTCCGCACTTTACAATGGTTTATCATTTGATCTCGAAAAAATTATTATTCATTACGCTTACACAAAAGTCATGAATGAAGATTATTCAGACTTTCTGTACACTAAAAATGAGTGAGTGAAGATTCTGGGGAAAGAATTTATTGAACTTCCTTCTTTAATTTTTAGTTTAGCATTACTTAAGACATTGTCAAAGATTCCATTCACAATAAATCTTCAGCCAGTAATACTAAACGAAGGATGGAGTTATGTCAGAAATGGAACAGCAATTATTGTTGGATGGGGATGGTCACATCCCCGTCGTAACGAAACGAATACTCTACAAGCAGCAGTTGTTAGAATAGAAGATAATTGTGCGAATATTTTACCAGAACAGCAGACACAAGTTGTTGATCAAAGACAAGTTTGTACAACAACCTTCAACGACGACGCTCGATCAACTGAATTTGGTAAATATTTCAAACAAATGATTATGACAATTTATTATATAATTATCTACTTCAGCTGATACTGGTGGAATGGTTTTGACGTTGTCCAATAAGAATCTCATTCAAATTGGAGTAATTTCATCAGGACCGACAATCTTCCCTGATGTACATGAACGAATTTCGTCTCACATCAATTGGATTCAGTCCACAATGCAGAGGGAAATTCCAAACGACAATTTTTCACATAAATCAGTCGTGAAAGAAAAGTTTGTAGGGAAATTAAGTCGCGTGTTTTCAGAAGATCTTGAAGAAAATTCTGATGAAATCGATCAAAAGATTCAAATTTATGAACTTCTTTAAAACTACAAATAAAACTTCATCAACTTTGATTCAATCATTTTTATTATCTATGAGTCTATGCAGAATAAAATGTCAGAATAATTTCATATTTTAAATCAAAGTCTTTTTTTATAAAAGTCAAACTGTGTAGACAACGAGATAAAAAAAATTAATTTTGATAATTATTTCAGGAATTGGAATTTCTTTTATTTTCTTTTCATGGCTTTCTTTTATCAGATGTTATTTACACCTGCAACGCTCATCGACTTCAAGTCTTCTTCCAATTCCTGATTATTTATTTAGATTACAAAGAAAAGAAAATTATTTCATTTCATCCATGTGCAAACAACATTAAATGCATCATCATCAATATCATCGTCAATATCATCATCACGACATGACGAACGTTGCCAGAATGTTTGATAAAGTGAATGCTTAAATGCTTGAAATATTGAATCGCAACTTCATCAGCTTTTAAGCTGTTCAACATCAGTCTCTTCATCGACGGTCTTATCATTAGCAATTTGGTAAGTGACGAGATATTCTGGATAAGCTTGTTCGCCACGATAAATCACATATTCAGGAAAATGCAAGCCACCGACCGATGGTCGTCCAATGACCGAATGATGTCCTGGTGGTGAATGAGAAATCTTCAAAGCTGAAAATTGAAGAAAACTCTTTCCAAGTGCAACACGACAAAGCAATAGAGATCGATGACATTGATAGCAACTTTTATCTTGATGAACATGACAACCACTGCCGCCAATTCCGTAAACATATTGATTCGACTTTGATGAATGTTCAGCAAAATAAATTCCAGCTCCAAACATTCCACCAATGTAAGCGTGACGTTCATCAAATCCTTTTTGGATGATTGCATTGATGAATGGACTGCCATGAAAAAGCATTTTCTCATTAAATTGTCCACCATTTTCATCAGCAACTTCATGACGACGATGAACGTAACGATCCCATAATTTTCGATTTTGAATCTTTTGTATTCTCACAATACCATAGCGATTAAAGACGCCACCCATGTTGCCATTATCACGTTGATGTTGTCGAATTGTTGATTGCATTTCATCTTCAACCATCAAATATTCTTTATCGTTTGGCAGTAAATCAATCAAAACCGTTCCTGGATTTGAATTAAATGAAAATCCTCGTGTTGCACGCATTGTTGCGATTCCTTTTATAATTTTATGTCGATATCCATATGCAGTCACACCAACTTGCTTCAAATCATCATGACCCATTTCAGCTAAGATTTCAAGCGTTATTTGTTCACGTTCAAATAATTCGTTGAGATGATCGAGTTTAAGTTTCGATAAGAAGCTTGAAACATCAGAATAATCAATTTGAGTTGTTTTATCATCTTCAGTATTCTCAACGTTTGACTCAGCACCTTGAATGGGACTTAAACATGATCGTGCACTTAAACAAGGCATCGTAATTTGAAGATCAACTGTGTTACCAGATGGAAGTGTGACAGTTTCAATTGTTGCTGAAACAGGTGCTGGCACATAGGTCGATGTTGATAAATTCAAAGGTTGACGTGCAAACATCGCATCTTGTAAAAGTGATTTGACATCATCAGCTGTTGCTAAATCTAAACATGTTTGACCTTCTTGATTCTTCATGAATGGATCAGCACCATGTGCTAGTAAAAGTGAACAAAGTTGAGTTCGACTCTTTTGTGCAGCTTCATGAAGTGGCGTGTACATCCATTTATCAACCGCATTAACTTGCGTGTTGTATTTGATGAGAAGAGCAGCAATTTCAAGATGACCGTAGCTGCTCGCATTGTGAAGCGCGATTAAACCTCCTTTGTCTTGTGCATTAACATCAGCGCCTTGTTCAAGTAAATATTCAGCAACTTCATAATTATTGTAACCAGCAGCAAGATGAAGTGGAGTTGAATTCCTACCTTGCGAATCACGACAATTAATATTTTCTGGAGTTAACAATCGTTGAATTCTCGCGAGATTTCCTTTCTTTGCTGCGTCCAAAAGTGCTGCATTACCACGTAATAAATCAGCTACTTCTTGATCTCTCACTAAATCCAATGCTGATGCACCATCACGATTCTTTAAGTTTGGATTTGCACCGTTCTTCAATAAAAGTTTCACAATTTCTTGTTTCCCTTTTGCTGCTGCTTCATGTAAAGGAGAAAACTTCCAAAGATCAGAAGCATTGACATTAGCACCAGCTTTAATAAGAAGTTGTGACACTTCAAAATGTCCATAAGAACTTGCATTGTGTAAAGGAACGAGGCCACCTTTATCAGAAGCATGAACATCAGCGCCACTTTCAAGAAGAAACTCAACAACACTTATTCGATTGTAACCGGCAGCAAAATGTAATGGCGTTGAATGACGTCCATCAATGTCACGACAATTAACAATTCTAGGATTTGATGTGATGACTCTTTTGACCGTTGACAAATCACCGCTTTTAGATGCTTCAAGAAGTTGCATTTCCAAATCAATTGCATCCGATGGTGGATCTTTAAGAATTTTTAAAACATTTTCTTTCGCTAATTGTGTTGCTGTATAGCCTTGAAGTGAAACAATTGTGGAATCACATGAATGCGATAGAAGAAGACGAACAGCTTGAACATCGTCATCACGAGCAGCACGATGAAGACATGTGTGTCCTAAACCATCAACAGAATTCACATTCGCACCATTTTTTATTAAATAATCCATGACATCGTAATGCGAATTTTCTGTTGCGACGTGCAATGGTGTTAAGAAATCTTTGTTCTTAACATTCAATTGAACGCCTTTTCTTATCAACATTTCAATGACTTGCTTTCGTTTTGAGAACACAGAGCTGGCAACAACGTGAAGTGCTGTGTCGCCAGTAAATGGATGAACAAAATTTGCTGTTTGTGTTGTTAGAAACTTTTTGATTCTGACAATATCACATTGTCGACATGCGTCGATGAGAGAAATTCCTTTGAATTCGTCTGTAAATGATTTTTCATTATTTTTTGAGATTCTTTCATTTATTTAATTAAATAAACTTACATGTCATTCTTTCTTGAAGATCTCTTGGAGCTGAATCCAATGGTGATTTATTGTGACAATTTAAGAAGTTTATATCAGCACCTTCGGATATCAAAAGGCTGCAAACTTCTATTCTTGACTTCGATGCTGCTTCATGAAGTGGTGTAAATGACCACAAATCTTTAAAATAGAATAATGAGCATTGAACTGAATTTATAACTTAAAAGCTCGTACCTGATGCATTAACATTAGCTCCAGCTTTAATCAACAATTGTGACACTTCCAAATGTCCATAACTTGAACTGTTATGCAATGGAACGAGACCACCTTTGTCTTTTGCATGAACATCAGCGCCATGTTGTAAAAGAATTTGAACGACACGAATTCGATTGTAACCCGAAGCTAAATGTAGTGGAGTTGATCGACGACCGTCACTTGCATGACAATTTACATTTAATGGATTGAGAAGTTCCAAAAGTCTTTGTTCATCACCTAATCTTGCTGCTTCTAGAAGTTCATCTTTACGATATTCACCAGTCAAAATTGGTTTCGTACTTGAGTCTGCCAAATCTAATGGAGTTTTATTTTCAGAATTTCTCAACTCAGCATTGGCACCATGTTGAAGAAGTGCAAGGCAAACATCAATTTTTCCTTTACTGACAGCTTCATGTAACGGTGTGTAGTTCCAATTATCACAAGCATTTGGATTTGCTCCTGCGTCGAGAAGAATTTGAACAACTTCTGAATGGCCGAATGAGCATGCACTGAAATTTGAAGATATTCAAAATAAGGCCAAAGGTTGCATTAATTAATTAAAGAAATTACTTGTGAAGTGGATTCAATCCACCATCATCTCGTGCAGCAATATCAGCGCCATTCGAAAGAAGAAACTCAACTACATCTTTCCTTCCATATCCACTTGCAAAATGTAAAGCTGTTGATCTACGACCAGCAGTATCTGAAATTAAATCACATGAACGTGTCCTTGAACATTTCTAAATTTGACCGACTCACCTATTTCATTCACATTCTTAGTAGTCAGCAATTTTTTTACTTTAACTAAATCACCAGTCTTACACGCCTCGAATAATTCACGTAAATCGCTTGAAGACATTATATTGTTGTTGGAACTTCTACTGGTAGTGTAATTTTTTTTTAACTTTTTCTTTTTTCTTCAATGACAAATCCACACTTTTGTTGTTGCTACTTTGAGTTCTGTGAAAAAGATAGAAAAGTAGACCACATAGTAATTAAATCGAGGAGAAACTTTCGAATGATAATTGCTTTTATGGGAAATAATTCCGAGAACATGAACATATTTATCGGATTTTCGTTAATCCCATTAATCTCTTTATGGAATGGAAAATAGATTACAGTCAAAACTAAAATTATATAAATAAAGAATTCCCACCTTTTAAAGTTCTCTGTCGAGCCCTATACATGATCTTTACTTCAAAACCATGATGAGACACAAATTTTCTTGTAAATTTTCAAGTAGTTAAGACAATTAATAGATATTTGTGAATAAAAATTAGGAAAAATATTTCTTTTTCGACTTCAAAATAATCGCAATTTCAGAATTGTATTGTGATAAAAGTTTTCTATGTTTCTAGTAAAATCGTTCTTAAAGCGTTGGTTTTAAGGTCCTATTTTGATTGACAATGGCGTTTCTTTGAACTTATAGCGGGAAAATTTAATTTTTTTCCTAGCTTGTCGGTTAAAATTATTCCTAATAAACATGTGTTAGTTCAGATCATATTATTTCAAATAATGTACTTATGCAACATTAATAAACTTTCTTGAAATATTAAAAAAGCATTAAATTAACTGTTTTTTGAAGGCCTTAACTTAAGATTAGATTAAAAGTTAAATACTCTAATTTCCTTCACGTGATTGGCCAGACGGAATGAAAGCTAAGACACGCCTTCTCTATACATCTTCTCTTCTTCTTTGAAAATTCTCTCGGAAAATTCTACAATATTAACATTAAATAATGTAAAACGAGACAATTAGCTGTAAAATACCCCCAAATTGGATAATTAGGATCTTTATATAATTCACTTTTAATGAGCCATGAAAATAATCAAATTCGTAGCTAATTTCCTCTTCTGATGGTTTGTTGGTTCGTGTTGAGGGTTTTCAATTAAATTTTCAATTTTCTTCTAACTCGCTTGGTATTAGTTGAAAATTAGAAGAAAAAAACAAATAATTATTCCAACAAATCTTTTTCAGAAAATTTATTAGATTTTTATGTTATCAATTTAATGTTTTGTAAATTAAATTGGAATCACATATTAAAATTTTGGTCGTTCAACTTAAGAAATCTAAAACTGTTGTTTTTCTTAAGAATTTTCATGGCGGAAGATTTTCTATTATGCTGGGGATGCTACATAATCTCAAAACAATTTCCCCCATTACATATTATTAGCCAGCTCATCGTCGTTTATTATGTTGTTAAAGGATTCATTTGGAAAAGATTATTTTGTTTATTTTTAGAAGCTGAAGTATTCCACCCCACCCACATCAACCCTCGTCTGTTTCCCTTCATTCTAGACTTGATTCCAGAGAAGAAAAAAAAACTGCGATGAGCATGAGCCAGAGAAACGAAACCCGAGAGAGAAAAATGCGATTATGATGATGTTAATGGATTTTATATCTATTTTAGATTTGTGAAATGTTGTGTACTTGTGGTTTATTTCATTGTAAAGCTTCGCATTTTTGTCGTCATTTGCGTTGTAATTCTAATCGAGAGCGGATCGTCAAGCAAGTGCTGTTCAGTTGATAATAGCAGGGATTTATTTTGAAATAATCTTTTGATGATTGAAGACGTGGGTTTATAAAATAAATAAATTGAAAAGTGGAAAATTTGTAAAGTTTCCGTCGGAAAATAAACTTTAACATTACGTCTTTTTTCCTTCAAAGTTATCAAGTAAATTAAATAAAAAAAAAGTTTGCAAAAAAATTGGATTACCTTTCACATCCTCTCCGAATGTTGCTTGGTGAGTTGACAGAGTGTAATTAATCCGTCGGTTAAGACGAAATCTTACAAAATCTCGTGTGCATTATTATAAAACTATGTCTTTAAGAACAATAACAACAAAATGTATCGGATTTCAACTTTACGGTGTTTAATTTTTAAATTGTTTCATGTTTATTGTGTAACATAATTTCATATCAAGTGACTTCTTTTTTAAGACTTACACAAGATATCTTATATAGAAATTTTACAGTTTTAATTGTATCACTTTAATTAAAATTGTCGTCTCAAGTTGATTTCATGCAATTTTTGAATACTCTAAAATTAAATCATAACTAAATGTTATTCATTAACCTTAATCGGTAGATCAATCAAACATTCATCCATGATACAAACAAATAAAATGATTTATCAGCAACCAAAGTATCATTCTAATTCATTCACGCACTTCCTTCAATTGCACTCATCAATTAACAACAATAATTCATTGGTAAATACAAATCGAAATACTGAAGAATTGAATAGAAATGATCAAACGAAATTGGAGATTCTTGATAACAACAGCAATGCATCAAACACTTCTTTAGAAGTAGTAAACGAAAGCATCGGAAAATCATTCACAATTGCTGCAATTCTGGGCTTGAATAAGAATTCCGTGAATCATTTAAGACAAAACTGTGAATTGGATGAAGTCAATGGGGGAATAAATGATTATAATACAGAATTTCCAAGTCTCATTAACCTTACGGCTCATAGTAAACTATTTCAAAAATTTGATCACGATAATCGGCATAATTACATGCTTTCACCGAATCAACAATCTTCTGAACATCCTCAGATGCCAATCGAACAATGTATGTACGACAATAGCACCACCTCGAATTCATCATATCAAGATCATTTACATAAGCATAGCAAAAGTACAGAATTTAATGCTAATTACTCTCGAAATGTGGATGATCCACAAGCTAATTCAGTAATGCGTAATCATATGCACCAACATGTCAATGGAAATATTCTAAACAAAGCCTTTAACAGAGATCGGAATCGAATGGGTTGGTTAAAAGAATAAAAACAAAGCACTATAGAAAGTCAAATAAATGTTAACAATTTCAGATCATTTTTCATCGAAAAGTAAATCATCAATGTCACTTAAAAATAAACGAGTGAGAACAATTTTTACCCCCGAACAACTGGAGAGACTTGAAGCTGAGTTTGAGCGACAACAATACATGGTAAATGGAATTGAATGAAAGAAGATTTCAATTTTATTTGTCTTCCTATTCCAGGTTGGACCTGAAAGATTATATCTTGCTCATACTCTTCAGTTGACAGAAGCGCAAGTCAAAGTGTGGTAAGTAATAACGAATAAAAACTTTTAAATTTATTTTTAAAATCTTCGTTTCTTAAGGTTCCAAAATCGTCGAATAAAATGGCGAAAACATCATCTTGAAATCACACAACAACACTTAGCAATCGCAAGACAACGACAAGTTCCAGTTCCATTACCATCAACATCACGAAATCTGTCAGAAGAGTCAACACATTCAGAAGAAGGTCAAATCGTAAGTGATGCTGATGATTAATAAAAGTAAGAAAAAAATCACTCTTGAATTATCTCGATGTAAATATTTTGAAATCGATTAAGTATAATTATCTTCTTTCGCAATTCATTTGATAAGTATAATAGAATTGATAATCAATTTAAATCAAGAGAAATTTTCAATCGATAATCAACTCAAGCATTCATCCATTGATGAACCATCAACTAAATAAGAGATGCTCTGAATTGTTTTAATACATTCAATAGTTTCATCTTTAAGAGATTATCAGGAATGAGTTTTAATAACAATTAGGACAAACTTAAACTTTCTGTTAGTTTATGGTTTCCTACGTGACTAACAAACTCATCCCCCCGAAGATACGAAATAACTTTTAATTAAAAATTGATCATGTAATGATGAAAATATTAAATGAAAAGTGAAAGCCATTTTGAGTTTTAATAAAGATATTTCCGAGAAAGATAATACAATTAAAGACATAATTTTGTTATATACCATCATAATTCACCCCAAACCTTCATCTACTAAGCATTCCAAAAGCAGCATAAATGAAAATGGAGGAAAAGAAAAATTTCCGGAAAATTTTTGAATCCATAATTAAAAAAAAAAAAAACTTTCGTTTTCTATGCCGAAAATAAAATAAATCGAGCCTGTTGGTTTAATGCCAAACTTTTTTCATGATGAAAGGCAACATCACAAATTTTTTAATTGAAAAGCTTTGTATTTTTGGGGTTCACCACATTTCATAAATCCGAAAGATCAAGAGAAAACATAATTTTCCTTCTCAAACTTTTTTTTTCATTCTACAAAGTAGAAAAATATTCTTTTTTTGTCTAGTAGCAAAAAAAAAACAAATAAAAAAGTTTTCTACCGCAACTTTGATACTTAGCTTCCGCCTGAAAATAAATATGTGGAAAGCTTGAAAGCAAACTAAGTGAAATATGAAACTAATAAATCGCGTTCTTATACAACGAGTAAGATAAAAGTGAATAGCGATGGAAAACTTCATAACATGAAAATATTTTTATACATTCTCAAGGTACGCATGATGTTCTGATTTGAAAGCTTTTCAAAGAAAATTTTTGGGGTGAACAACATTCAGTGATGTCAAGACTTTAATATTTTCTTTTCCGATATGGTTAAAGTATTTAAATATTGAATTAAACATATTTTTAAAGGTGACTTAACTGACGTAGTCATTAATCTCATAGAACCATCTCTTCCCACTTCTGACAATATGATCAAAGAGAAATTCGAGGGAAAAATATTATTGAGTTATGAATGTTATCATCTCCCCACCAACATCGTTGTCGAGATTTCCACGATGGTGGATTTTTCCATTAAGTTGCTTCGCCAGAGAGAATGTGTAGATTGAGCGAAACGAGGAAAAAAATAATCCGCAACATCGTTTATTAAACATCATCATTCAGAGATAGAAATTATGGTGGCATGGATAAATAAATATTATAAACACGCCCCCGCAACGTTGAAAATATGCTGCGATGCTTATTAGAAGATGAACGAGGGAGAATTTCGATAATTTTCAATTACAATTTTTTCTTTTCCTTCCTGACTCAATCTTTTGTGATTTATGGAAAAGAATTTTCATAGAGTTTTCTCCGCAAATTTTTATTATACTTCTTCATCCTCAAATAGAATACGTGTAATGGAGAGTTTATGATTCTTTAAATCCTCTTAATCTTTTCCTTATTGCGCTTGCGTCAACATCGAAAAGGAACATGGTTTATTTTTCATATAAATAAAAGTATTAAGCTTTCATCATCATCATCACAAAAAATCAACAATCAAAAGATTTTAACGAATAAATTGTTAATGAACTCAAATCACGATTATCCTTTTATATTCCGGTTTTTACTTTTTCTCTTCAATATAATCCAATTAAATATTTGCAACATGTTGTCCACGGCTAATTGATGAACGATATGAATGAATGAATGAATTTTACAATGGAATGAGTTTAATTTTACAAACCTTCATGACTACACCAAAATGTCAAAAGCACCCTCATTAAATTGCTATGCTAATTAAATATCCTATCACAATGGACACGAATAGGTCTCTGGCTTTACGTTGTGTGCAAAAATAGCTTTTGTTGTTGATGTGACTAAAACAAATTAATTAGATTACTTTCATGCTTTTGCATCCCTCGTTCCTTTATTGCCTCTTCGGTGATGTTTTTTTGTAGTGTTTGCAACGTCGATAAAAATTTAATAATCCAACAAAACAAGCAGACAAAGTCAAATTTTATGCCAACAACCGCCACAAAAGCAAAGTTTTGTTCCTTTTTTCAACCAATAAAAACGATTTGCGAAAGCGAAAAGCGGGTTTCATGAATTTTATTAAAAATATAGAGAATTTCGATAACAAAATATCTTTCCATATATTCTAGTTCGAATCTTCACTATAAGTTTAATTAAATATGTGAGATAAATGAAACCATCAACCAACAACCCCTTTTTTGATGACATAAATTATCCGCGACGAAAGGACGGAAAAAGAGTTGGCTTGTTGATTTATTTTCTCTAACTTTTAGATACAAAACAGTTTAAATCTTCATTTTAAAAATACTTACATGATCCTTTTAATCTTGCACCCAAAGAAACCCTCATAGAAGAAAATTCGATGGAATCAAATTCTCAATCACGGTGAATGATTTTTATTTTATTTTTCCTAAATATCCCTTTACAAAGAATAGAAATGACCACTCATGTTATTGATAGTTAACCCACATAACATGTAATTGTTGTAATGTAATTAGAAGAGAGATAGGAGAATTGCATCTCACGACTTTAGTTCAACCTTGAACTAATCTATATAAACCTCGTCAAAGTAAAATAAAACTCTTTCCGACAATTCTGACTAAAGAATAACAATGTATTTAATATCTGCCTTCAAATAAAATCGTCATTTTCAGCGTTACGAAAGTAATATTAATAAATATTTGTCAAATGATTTTCCATCCCTTCATAAAATACCGATTATCGTGCAGACAAATCCACTTGAACTAAACATATTGATGGCATTAAGGAACGAGAGAGAAAAAGAAGAAAAATGCCGCCTTGGTAGGATGCGATACATCATTTGATGAATGATATTAAAGAAAATTTGTTCCTGTCCCTCTCCCCCGTATCATCATCGCATTAAAACCTAATAACAATAAATATTAAAATTGTTATTAAATAAGGCAATGAACGCAACGACAAAGATTGAGGGGAAGAAAGTTAAATGTTTGATGTGCAATTAAGGGATGTTTTACAACTTGGGTGGTGAATGAGAAAAACGCTGCTGAAGGTGCCGGATCCTTTGTCAACGATTTTCCACTTGTAAAGCAAATGTTTTTCAATCGTCTTTCGTCTTTCATTGTTGTCGTTTTTGTTGAGAGGTTTTTTATTTTATTTTTTATTAAAAAAATGTAATTTTTAAACGAGGGTGAAAATGGCTTTTAATGTTATTATCCTTGTTTGACGGCGTTTTTTGTCATCATAGCTTTGTAAGGGTAATTTTGCAATGAATCTTCATCACGGATAACCCATGAAATCATATAAATCAAATAAAAAGTTAAACAACACGTGTCCATGACGAAACAAAACGATCGTCCTTGTTAATTTTTCTGTTCATTTCGGTTGGATGACGAAGTAATAAGGCGGACGTTTGGTGACATCTACAAAGCAAGTGCCGACTTGTCAAGTGTCTTAAATGTGATCAGCGATAAATTGTAATTTTATTGCATTTTTATTAGCTTTTTTATTTGTTCGCAGTCGTTCTTTTTGATTAACATTTTTTTTAATAATAGAAAAATAAAAAGATTTGAGATTAATGTTTCAGGCACATCATGGAAGCATTGTAATAAGATTCTTGAGGAAGACAAATATTTAACATTTATCATCAATTCATTACGAAAATACAATTATTAAGCTATTATCTTATTATTATGAGTAGAAATTATTATTAAGTCACAAATTGGAAGATTTCTTTTTTTATCAATGACATTTATGTTCTTCAAAGTCTTTTTCTTTAAATATTTCATCAATAAATGAAGAAATAAAACTTTTTTGATTGTTCAAAGCGTAAAATTCATTCAATGGCACTTTCAATGTATCATGCTACTTGCTGATAATGTGTTAACAATAAAGCGTAAATTTTTCTCGGGATAATCAAACACTAGTGGAAGTGGAAGTGTTGAAATCTTTTCAGGATCTAAATCTTTCATTTGTCCAATGATTGTCATAAGTAAGTCAGAATCGATTCTGATTTGAAGCCATTTACCACTGATTGCATACGGTTGATCTTTTGTAACGAAACATCCTTGAACAGTTTCTGCTACAAGAGTTAAATGTGTGTCAGGGTTTTGAAACGTGAAATGATGGCCGTGACGCAAACGATCTCTAAATGCCAGCTTCAGAAATTTAGCCGTTGTTGGACTGAAAATGACTTCAACTCCGTCCAGAAATATTGGTCCACGATGAGAAAATGGAACGAATGGAGAAGATGCCGAATGATGAGCGTTAAGTTCAGCACTTGTTCTGAGATCTAATCGTCTTAAGTCACGTGTGAAATCGAGTGACCGATCTGAATCAGACATTGTGAGGCAAAGTGAGGTTTTAATGGCAATTTTTGGAAGTTCTCGGTAGAAAAACTCAGCATCAATTCCTGCCAAATCGCTTCCTTCACGTTCCAAATCATCTTCTAACATTTGAACAGTTTGTGGAAATAAATCAAAGACACTGTGCATCCGTCGCATATCAGTGCAAAGTGACATTCCACCAGTTTTTGGATCCTTTCTCAGCAGATTTAAAATTCCTTTGACATTGTAAGACTGAGCACGATTCAACTGTTTTAAATAAAAATTAATGTAAAATTTTATAAATCAAAATTTTGTTAAATATTTCTCACCTCTTCATCAGTTACTCCAACAATTTGACAAAACGTAACATGTCCAAGAATAGTTTTTATCTTTTTCAGTTGACAATCCATTGCTACAAGTAAATGACGAATTCTTGTTGCTTCATTACCATCCAAAGGTTTATTCCAGGGAATGTGATCACCGGGATAAAATTTATTTCTCGACATAAAAACATATTTCGCAAGTTGTTGAAGAAGTTGTGCTGGCCAAGACGGAGGTGTTACTTCTTCATGTCTTTTAAGTCGAAATGTGAGTTCAAATCCCATACCAGAAACTCGTTCAGATGACACTGATGGATCAAGTGGATGAATTCTTGAGTCACCATATAAGTCAGAGAGACCTAAGCTAACATAATGCCAATGTTGTGGAACTTCTTCTTGAGGTGAACCCGGATTTGCATATATAAAGATGTAATCTAATGGCTCATTGCTATTCGAAAACTGCCATATTTTGTTTACCGTAGATATTACAAGTGGATTTGACTCACGATAAATGCCAAAGAGTTGTTGGTAAATTGCTCTCATGCCAGGAAATAACCAACTTGGCATATTAACATTAAAACTACTGTGCATTTTCACTTATTTTATTCCTTTTTCTATGTAAGTTTTGAGAGCAATTAAAAGTTTTCATTTGTTTATATTCTCACATAAGCCGCGGACTTCAATGTGCTTTAGCATAAAAATAAAATGCGATTCGCAATTGAAGTTTGTTCAAATTTGTCGGCTTGTCAAAATTTCCCAAATTCAAAGCGATTTTCTTATATAGGTATTATTTTTAGATTTTAAAGCATTTATTAAGGTTTTGTAATTGTTTTAAGCAATGGAACCTTACGATGTGATTGTTAACCAGCCAGTGGTCATTGATAATGTAAGTTCATAGAAACTTTTCATTGGAAAAGTTTGAAAAAATTTTTTCACCGCATGAATCATCACCGCCCAGTACAAAAATTTAATGTTGATCAATATTACAGGGATCTGGTATCATTAAAGCTGGTTTTGCTGGTGAACAAGTTCCAAAATGCATTTTTCCAAACTAGTAAGTAAAAATTGCTTAAGATGTTTAAATGAAACAGATGACATCATCCAAGCAATTGAAAATATTCCAATATGAAAAAAAAATGTTTAATTTTAGTATGGGACGACCAAAACATGTTCGAATAATGGCTGGAGCTTTAGAAGGAGATCTTTTTGTGGGACCAAAAGCAGAAGATCATAGAGGACTTTTAAGTATAAGATATCCTATGGAGAATGGAATCGTTAATGATTGGAATGATATGGAAAGAATTTGGACACATATTTACAGCAAAGTAATTAAATATAATCTACATAGACATATAAAGGCTGCGAAAAACAAAAATTTCACTTTTTTCAGGACGAGCTTTCATCTTTTTCCGAAGAACATCCTGTTCTGCTAACAGAAGCACCACTTAATCCTCGAAAGAATCGTGAAAAAGCTGCCGAAATTTTCTTCGAAACATTCAACGTTCCAGCTTTGTTTGTCTCAATGCAAGCTGTGTTAAGTTTATATGCAACGGGTCGTGTAACTGGAGTGGTACTTGATGCCGGTGACGGTGTTACGCATGCAGTGCCAATCTATGAAGGTTTTGCAATGCCTCATAGTATCATGAGGATTGATATTGCAGGACGTGATGTTACCCGCTATCTCAAAGCCTTGATCCGAAAAGAAGGCTTCAATTTCCGTACAACAGCTGAATTCGAAATCGTGAGAATGATCAAAGAGAAGGTTTGCTACTTGGCAAGCAATCTTCAAAAGGAAGAAAGTGTCGACACAGATAAAGTTGCTTATGTTTTACCTGATGGAAATACACTCGAGGTAAATGGCAAAGAATTATTTTAAATAATATAAATAATTAAAGTTTTAATCATAGATCGGACAAGCTCGATTCCGTGCACCAGAAGTGCTCTTTAGACCCGACCTCATTGGTGAAGAATGTGAAGGCATTCATGAAGTTTTAATGTACTCAATTCAAAAGTCCGACATGGATCTACGAAAGATGCTCTATCAGAATATAGTTCTTTCAGGAGGTTCAACACTTTTTAAAGGTTTTGGTGATCGTTTGCTTCAGGAGATCAAGAAAAATGTTGCAAAAGACATGAAAATTCGAGTGAGTAGTGAAATAAATTTGAATTTTTCTTTCTTATTTCTTTCAATTTGTTTGTAGATTGCAGCACCACAAGAACGTCTCTATTCAACATGGATGGGTGGATCTATTCTTGCATCTCTCGATACATTCAAGAAAATGTGGATATCAAAACGAGAATTCGACGAAGAAGGTCAACGTGCTGTTCATCGAAAGACATTTTAGAAATTTTTCTCATTCTTTTAATTGAAGAAATAAATCATTTTTACATTAATCATAAAAGAAAAGTTGGAAAGAAAGTTGCGTTAAGTATTGAAAGAGAGAAGAAAAATCTCAGCGCAAAAGAAAATCTTAATCGTTGCTTGTTCGTGGCTTTTCTTGTTTCCCTAAAATTCCTTCGAATAAATCGAAATCTTCTTTAAGTTCTCCAAAAGAAACTTTTTCCTTTTGTAGCTTCATATTTTTTGTTTCTTTCATTTTTTAAATAAAGTGAGACAAATAAATCCCAGTTGAGATTCCATTGCTACTTACTTAAAATAATTTAATTGAAGTTGTGCAACATTGATTGGATATTATCTAAGAAAATAACATCATTAAACATAATTTATTATTTTTTTTTTATATCAAATAATGATCGAAACTCTTTTATAGGCTGAGAATTAAAAAAGAATAAAAAATTGCAGCTGATATCGCTTGAAACAAAGAAATGTTTGACGACTTTTATTCAACATTTTTGGAACATTCGCCATGGATTGGAAATATTCTTCGGAAGAATGCTGTAAATATTTCCAATTCTTTTGATTTTTGGTCTTCTGAAAGTTCCAATTCTCCCAGAATCATATTTCGAATCATGTTGTCGAAGAAACGTATTTCTTTAAATTTTTCTAAGGTGCACTTATGAATTGGAACTTTTGGATTGAATTCTGACAACATTGATTTCCTTTCATCTTCTATTTCAGCATCACAATCAACTTCACTTATATCAAGATTTTTTGGATTTAGAATCACATGATACTCGCTTGTATTAATCAGATTATGATCGACGACATAAGCAATAACTGCGTTCATTACCAGCTGACATTTTTGTTCGACCATTCGCGAGGGTAGCTTTAAACAATTCACCAAAGTTAAAGCAATTTGAAACATCCGATTCGAAAAGATCTGCAATTTCGTGATTGATCTCTTTTACCTTTTCTTCCTTTAATTCTGATGATAAATGGCTTGCACTTTGGTAAATTTCTTTTTAAACTCCAAATCTGCAAAGTGCTTCTCAGTCATCTTTTCTTCCACACATTTAGAGTCAAATTTGTTTGGTTCATTATTTTCTTTAACCGATTTTTCTACTGCCTTTTGTTTTTGTTCTGTTATGATGGTTGAGCAATCAGCATGCTCTGATGGTTTTCCAAAGCTATCGTCCTAGAATGATTTTGATTGCAAATATGAAACTATGCAATCATGTTTCAAATCATCGCTGACTGGTGTTGACTTTACTAACGCAATTAGAAAGAAGAGCGAAACGATTCTGATAACCAGAATCAAAGTTCACGATAATGTTATCAATAAAATTTAAAAATATTTATATATTTACTTCACAATTAGGTCCATGTTTCGTCAACTAGCTTCACAATCCTAATGAAGTCTAATAGAAAACTTCAAGTTTTTATAGTCAAATTTCGAGAGAGTAAAAAAATAAGTTAATAAGCTAGATGAGTCTTTTCTAATGATTTCGATTGAATGATCTTCGTGACGTAAATAATTTCAATCACCTGGATTCTTTATAAAATACTTTAAATTGGACGGCTATTGCAACTTAAATAGGCGACTGAAATTTAACTTCATATGCGCTGATTTTAATAAAGAAAATATCCGGTAAGAGTCATGAAATAAGAAAAGACTACGTGGCAATATTTCATTGGATTCATATTTTACCAACTTCCGTTTTTACAGAGATTTACAAAGTGCGTCTTAAAAAATTGACGCCATGAATCATTCTAACGTATTTCACATTGATTTATTATGAGCCCAAAATTTAAAAAAAATCACAGCTGATATCGCTTGAAACAAAGAAATGTTTGACAACTTTTGTGCTTTTATCGTTCTTTGGTTTTAGGATAAACTCTTCATTTCGTATTTCTATTGTAAAATTTTAATTTTCAGTCATATAGAGTTTTAAATGTCTTTTAAAGAATTAATAAATGAGATCAGAAGATCAAATGCTGGTAAGCTTTTACTAATTACTTCACATTTAATGATAAATTTAATTTAATTAAAATCATTTCAAGCAAAAGCACTCTTCTGGCTTCTTGTTGCATTGAGTTGTTGTATAATAATTGTGGTTGCTTTAGATTCGTTGGAAGAACCTGATCATGATATCTCACCAGTCATGGTTGAGTTTGCTCCAAGACCAAACAAAGGGTCAATCATTTATTATAAATACAAAATCGCCCATAGTTGGAAACGTTGGACAAGTAAAATTGATCATTTTCTCGCCTGTCAGTTGTGTTTTGTTGTAAACTGTTTAGTTTTTCATTTAATTTTATTTTTTTTATAGTTTACAAGAATCCGCCTAACAATACCGTCGAATGTAATTTTGAACAAGAATTGACGTCCAATCAGTCATGCAATGTTGATTTACAACAGTTTGAACCTTGTATCAATACACACAACACCTACGCCAAAGCTTCACCATGTGTTTTCATTAAATTCAATAAAGTCTTTGATTGGCTTCCACAATACTACGAAAACTTGAATGAAACTGAATTTGGAACAGATTTTACAAACAAAATTGAAAACAATTTTGCAAAATATCATCCAGAATATCTCGTGAGTTGCTCCAGAGAATATTCTGAGGATTTAAATTATTTATTTCAAATTTCTAGCAAACTGTTTGGGTTCATTGTACTGGTAGAACGGAAATGGACACAAATTTACTTGGAGATGTGAATTATATTCCATGGATGGGCTTTCCTGGTTATTTCTTCCCATACAAAGGCCAAGAATCTTACATGGAACCACTGATAGCAATTCAGTTCACTAATCCAAGAGGTACGTAAAAACTTTGTTTTCGTTTTTGGCAGTCAACATTAAACACTTAAAATATATTTTAGTCGGTATAGCAATTGACATCGACTGTCAAGTACGTGCTAGAAATTTAAAAGAAGTAATCAGCTTTATATTAATGATCGACAACGTTGAATGATGAAGTCTTTTAATTATGTTACATTCAGTGTCATTAATAAAGTGTTGATGTCGAGTGAATTTTAGAGGCATCATATTAATTTTAGATATAAATCGTCAGTATAAATAGTTGTTTAAGAATTTACACCTTAATTAACACCTGTTAGGTACATAAATATGATATGCTTAAAAGAAAAATCATCGGAACGAATGAAATGAAATAATCAAGCACATTTTCTGTAAGTTTTTGAGAGGCATCCGACATACGGTAGCATAACTTAGGTAATAAATTTAAAAGAAAAAGAGGAAAACTTAGGAGATGATCATACAAATTGGGTCAGTTCAAGTGACATACAAATACGAAACCGCTGCATTAAAATGTCTCACTTCCTCTCCATAGAATTTTGATTATTCACTTGATTTATTTATATTATATAACGCCTAAATTAGTTCATTAAACTTAACAGGAAACAAAACCAGATGTCTTTTGCATTTAAATTTATTTTTCTTATTGTTCAAAGCGATAAAATGGCATGAAAATGATCATTTACTAATTTCAAATGCCAGCAAGAAGAAACAAATTGAAATAAGGAATGAGTATCATCTTTTCTTGCCATTCAATATTGTACGCCTACACAATAATTTACGAAATTCCATCATTCAAACATCAGCTATTATAACAAGACAAGCTTCATTAATTTTGATTAATATTTTGCGTGAGTTTTGTGACTTTTTATCATCAAAAAATGTTCTGCTATAAAATTTCTACGCTTATTCCATTAAAGTATGAATTTCATTGTAGAATCTTATGCTTGTACATAAGAAACTATTTTTAGTGTTGTCAGTTTGTCATCAATCAAGGTTGAGAAGTTTGTATAAACAAAACAAATTTGTTTGCGCCTTTTTTTCTTCTAAAACGCATGCGATGTCGCTAATATTTGCATTTCGCTCTTCAACAACAGGTTTCACATTTTTTTCAGCTATCCATTACATCGTCGATGAACAATATCTATTAATAAAATACTGAACATCATCAGATGGCGCGTATTGTAGCTTCAGTTTCCATAAGTTGAGACTAAAAGTCGTCAGTTTGAAAAAAACTTCTGCTTGATTCAGTCATTCATTTAACTTCGGAGCTGCGATATTTTTCTTTCATCTTTTTTAATTGCTCGATTCAGATAACATTAATTGAGATAATTTAAAATGTCTTTCTCGGAAAGGCTAAGTGAATGTTGGAAATCTAAATATGGTAGAATTTTGACTTCTTGAATTACTTGATTAATTTTGGTTTAACTAGCAATAAATTCATTTTAGTGAGAATATTTCTGCTTATTTTAATTGTGTTTCTCATCTGCGTGGGTGTTTATATCCTCGTGAGATCATCCTCATTAATGGATTATGATGATGAGACGGGGTCGATTGAAGTTATTCCTAAATTCGATCAAGGAAATTTCATCCGATATTCATCATCAAACAGAGAAAGCATTCTGGGAGTGTCAAGGAAAATCGATGAAGCATTGAAACGTAAGTTAACATTTTTTTTTTCATAATTCCAAAATGCTTTAATTCTTCCCGGCAGCTTACAACAGCACAAGCAGCAATTTATATCGCGGGTGTAATTTCTACAATCATCCACCACTTGGAAAAACTTGTGATGTTGACATAAAAGCTTTCGATCCATGCAGCAAAGAACGCTATTTTGGTTACTTAAAATCGACGCCTTGTGTATTTTTAAAATTATCGAAAGATGCTGAATGGGTTCCGGAATTTTATAATGAATCGTCACTGCCTGAAGAAATGCCTGAAGATTTGAAGCGAGATGTTTCGGATTATGTTAGACAAAATAAAAGACATGCAGTAATTTATTCCCTTCATTTTAAAATTATGAATATTTAGCAAATTTATTTCCATAGCAAATAATTTGGGTCTCATGCGAAGGCAAATCACCGGTTGATAAAGAAAATATGGGTCTGATCACATATTTGCCACGACGTGGTTTCCCAGGTTTCTATTATCCTTGCTCGAGTAAAATTGCTTGTACCGAACCGCTTGTTGCAATTCAATTTCAGAGTCCGAAATGTAAGAAAATTTTTACAGCTTTTTTAGAAATTGTTTCAATGAATATTTCATCTCGTTACAGCTCAAGTATTGATCAACGTACAATGCACAATCTGGGCAAAGAATCTACACAAGAAAGTCGATTTCGAACTTCAAATAGATTAAATATATCACACGTCCACTAGTCATTACATCATCTGATCTTTTTCATCACTTAAGGTCACCATTATTTCATAAACCAAAGCACATGTTGTTATTAAACCAGCAGATATCATGCCAAATCGGTCTCATGTTTAATTTTTGCTATTTAATACACAGGAAAATCTATTTTTAATATTTGTATGTTGATGTTTCACACCAGATGGATTGCAATAAAGTCAGTAGTTTAGTTTCCAAGACATTAGAAAACATTTGACTTCGGATACAAAATTTTTTTTTCACGAGTTTTACGATTTGTTTATCAAAGGTTTTGTTAAAAATATGTTGTATTGTATAAGAAGATTTATTTGACGTGGGAAATCAAAACAATTCAATGATATTTGACGAAAATGTAATTTTCTAAAACAAAATTGCTTCCGCTATGCTATTAAAAATTTAAAATTTCTCAAAACTTGCTGAAACTTGTGATAGAATTCGACGTGAGAAATTTTCAAGTCGTTTTAAGTATTTACCAATATAAATATCGTCTATTTATGTTTTACTCATCATTATAAATGGAAGAAACTGTCTGATCTCAAACGATATTTTGAATTCATCTAAATATCACGTCTTGTCGGTGAACTTTTTCACTTTAAGTTCTGTTGCTTAAAAGCTTTATTGGAAAAAAACTTTCAAAAAGGTCTATTTCTATAATTTGGAAAGTTCAATCGAAATTTGGTTACTTTTTCCAATAAAATTGTAGAATTTAATTGTATTAAAGATAAATCTATCTAGAAAATTAAAAAAACCTCTTGAAATACAAAACAATATGCCAAAAGAAGTTTTCATTTCGTGATGAATTCTCAATTGCATCTTACGGTCTTCTTCATTTCTTTATTTAGTTATTAAGATTGTAAACCATTATTGAAATTTATTCTCTTCAATATTACGACAATTTTTCTGTGGTCCTCAAATTGTTCTTATTAACAATTTAATGTTCATTTATTCAAAGGCATTTACTACATGTAACAGTTTTTTTTTTCAAATCAAACAAACGCGACATCTGTGAATAGGTCTGGTAACCTTTTTGAAACACATTGTTTACTAAACCAAAAGAAATTTCAAAAACCGAAAGAAACAAAAATATTAAAAAGTATAGAACGCCAAGTTTTCTCGAAAATGTCGAACAACTGTGATGATTTAGATGACATTGAGGATTTGATTGCACCTGGAGATCTTAAGCCGAGTGATCGTTATAATAACAAAAAAGATGTTGTTTTTCGGGGCAAACGTGAGAAGCGAATTTTAATCGAAGAAAATGGAAACTTAGAGGAAAATTCCAATCATAAAAGCGTAAGTAAAATTTATTTTTCTCATCTTCTAATTTTACCTTAATCTAACTTTCAGATCATTCCTGGAACACAAACAATTTATGTCAAGACTTGGGGATGTTCTCATAACAATTCTGACTCCGAATACATGGCTGGTCAACTTGTTCAGTTCGGTTACAATCTTACCAATGAAAAAGACAGAGCAGATTTGTGGCTACTGAATTCATGTACAGTGAAAAATCCATCGGAAGATACTTTTCGTAATGACATTCAAACCGGATTAAATAATGGAAAGAAGGTTGTAGTAGCTGGATGTGTGCCGCAAGGTGGAGGCTCTAAACAAGATTACTGTAAAGGTTTAAGTATTGTCGGAGTGAACCAAATTGATCGAGTTGTAGAAGTAGTTGAAGAAACTCTTAAAGGAAACACTGTTAAACTTCTTCAAGCTAAGAAAGTTAATGGAAAACGTCGTCCAGGTCCATCATTGCTTATGCCAAAAGTTAGAAAAAATCCTTTGATTGAAATAATTCCAATTAATTCTGGATGTCTTAACCAATGCACTTATTGTAAGACAAAACATGCTCGTGGAGATTTGGTATCTTATCCTCCTGAAGAAATAGTTCAACGAGCTAAAGACGCATTTCAAGAAGGCGTTGTTGAGCTGTGGCTGACATCTGAAGATACTGGAACATATGGACGAGATATTGACACTTCATTGCCTGAATTATTATATAAACTCATAGAAGTTATTCCTGATGGATGCAAAATGAGAATTGGAATGACAAATCCTCCTTACATTCTCGAACATCTTGAGCCAGTTTCTGACATTCTGAAACATCCTCGTGTCTACAGTTTTCTTCATGTTCCGGTGCAATCAGGCAGTGATTCAGTTTTAGGAGAAATGAAACGTGAATATTGCATTGAAGAGTTTGAACGAATTGTTGACTTTTTGAGAGAAAAAGTTCCTGGTGTTAATATCGCTACAGATATAATTTGCGGCTTTCCTTCAGAAACTCCTGAAGATTTTGAATTGACAATGAAACTCTGTGAAAAATATAAGTTTGGATCACTTTTTATTAATCAATTCTTTCCACGTCCTGGAACACCAGCAGCAAATATGCGAAGAATTCCTGCAAATCAAGTGAAGCAAAGAACTAAAAGATTGACGGATTTATTTTATACCTATGAGCCTTACATCAATAACCTTGGAAAGGAATATGAGGTCTTAGTGACTGAAATATCACACGATAAGAAACATTTTGTTGGCCATAATCAATTCTATGAACAAATTTTACTTCCCATGAAAGATAATCTTTTGGGAAAGTGTGTAAATGTCAAAATTATCAAGACCTCGAAATTTAGTATGGAAGGTGAAATCATTGAAGAAGAACATCAGTGGAAAAAGGTTAATGAGAATATTAATGAAAATCTTCTGCGTAAAAAAGATATTGGCAATGGATTTGTTCACGACGGCAACTTTGTTGAAACCAATGGAGAGGCAACAAATTCAATTCAACGACAAGGAATTGATAAACTTCACTTGATAAGTTTGATTCTCTTAGGCATTGCATTGTCATTTAAATTTTATTTTGAATATAAAAAACGGCAAACTTTTGAATCATAGACAACGATTATGAAATTTTGTTGAATATTTGTAACACATTTTGACTACGAAATATTTAAATAAACGTTTGTTGAAAAATATTGGTCTGATCTTTTTTTCTTAAAAATTATTATAAATAAATAACATTAAAAAGAAAATTGCCAACGTTTGCCGCACACGTTTGCGGTATTATATTTTATAAGGCAGAGCTAATCTCATTCCCCTAAGTTAATTCACCTACCTTAACTGCCTAAGCTAATTCACCTAGCTAAGACTGCCTAATGTCGTTGGCAACTTTCTTTTCGATATATTGAATTTGTATTTCATAAATTACCTTTTAAATCGTTATCGCCGGTCACCCATCCTCGTGTACTCTTTCGTTCGGCGTTGCTTAACCCCAACCTTGACCTCGATCGTCTGGGTCAACACCGCTGCAAGTGAATTACTGCTTATTCTTAATGATGTTCCAATTACATGTTGCAATTTGTACTCGATCATTTTTTTATTGAATAAAGAATTTTTTTATAAATTTACAAAAAGAGAGGTTTTGCTTTTATTTGTGAAATTAACTAATTTAATTATTAATTAAGGATTAGAAAAAAAAACTACAAAAAGAAAAAAATACCAACG